TTTCTTCCCTTATATGTGTTATGAACAGTCTTCCTCTTCCCTCTGTACCTTCACTGCTGCTGCTACCAGTCTTGTCCTGCATGTGACCATTAGGAGGCTAGATCTAAGAGTATTAGATAATTTTTTTTATCCTATCTAGGTATAAGCACTTGCTTATAACTGTTCCCACTTGAAAATTTAGGTACAGTCACCCTCAAAAGTCTTGTCGCCTCTTCTCCTGAACCACAAACCCTGAGATTTAAACATGTGAATCCAAAGCATTTATGTACAGAAGAATGCATCACTGTCTGCTGCTTCAGGTTTATGAGTCTAAATCTCGGGGTTCAGGAGGAGAGGCGGCAAAACTTTTGTGGGTGACTGTACATTTATCCCTCTTAATTTATAGCTAAATCTGTAGCTGTAATAGTTATTCCCCAGGATCATATTTCTGGACAATAAACTTCATTCATGAATATACTTCATGACTTACAACACTTACTTATTTCACTTACAGTATTAGGCATTTTTACCATCATGCAAACAGGAAGAGATAGAGATAAACGGAAATAGATAAAGTTAGATAGAGAAAAGAAGGTAGATTGATAGAGTAAAGATAGATTGAGGGTGAGAAATAGATAGAGATAGAAACAGAGAGAGTGAGCGATAGAAAACGGGAGTTAGAGTAAGTAGAGATAGATACTGTAAGTCAGTGAGTGAGTTGGGCCATTGAACATTGTGGTTGACTGTGTTAACAGTGTGTACTTCTGTGTGTTAAGGCTTGGCTTGTAATCAAAGAACAGTACTTGAGGGGATATTATACTGCTTTCTGGTGGCCAGGTTTTATTTACAGGATGATAACCTATAATTGTATGTCACCTCAATCATATGGCTTTTTTTTTTTATCCAATAGCACTCAATCCAGTCATCTTCTAAGCATTCGTATGTGATTATGGCTTGTGAAAAATTACATGTCTTGCGTAATTTTGTGGGGTATGGTGCCTTCTATTTTACTCTTGTATTGTTTCCTTCAATATTTGGTAAAATTAACTTTTTTTTTTTAAGAAATTGACGGCATATGCCATTTACGCTTCCCTTTTGCATCTTCTCTATTGCTTCTGCTTTTGAAGATCTTAGTCTTTGTCTGGATGGATGGAAAAAAATCAGATCAAGAAGAGTACTGTATACTCTGGTAAACTACAGCCCTGACCAGAAAATAATCCAGAATGTTGACATACTACAGAAAAGAGACAGTTAGGGTGATAAGGAAAAGAACAGCCCATATATGATTCTGAAAACTTAAAAGGGGAACCATTTCCACATATTTGTCTGCTTTGCTCTTCTATCCCTCAGCTTACCCTTTTAGCTTGTAAGCTTGTTGCACATATGAAACTGTGATGGTATGCTGATACACATCTGCATGGTAATTCTAAATTACTGTATTTGTAATGAGTAAGGATTAACTGCATGACATATATCAATAATTGAAGTATTACATATATGAAATGAAATTATGATGAACAAGAACAGTTTTGTTATGTAAGATCACCAGTTATAAGGACTAATTATGAGCCATCTTAAGAAGAAAGTAATGAAGATCAAAATGCTCTGTGCCAGGTGCTGTTTCCCTCACAAATCACAAAAGAAGGGCCCACATCACCAGTCAAGAATCTACAACCAGTACCTCATCCACACACAAGTGACCAGCCTAGTCCAACATTGCAGCCCATACCAGCAGTGTGGCCTGGAGAAGCACAAGTGAATGCTGTGCCAAGTCTACCATCTATTTTAGTCACAAACCCACAGTCTCTTACTAATTGTTTTGATAAATTTCTTGATGTTGTGAACCGGCATCAACCAGATATCGTAGTAGTTAGTGAAACTTGGTTTTCAGAAACACGACCAGCTAGTCAGTTTAAGCTGGATGGATACCAGATGTTCAATGATGATCGGGAGGGTCGGGGAGGAGGTGTGGCTGTATATGCTCGTGAGAGCTTAACACCATTTGAGGTTCAATTGAAAGCTCCCTCAGAATTAGAGTGTGTTTGGGTAGATGTAAATAACCAACTTGTAATTTGCGGGTTGTATCATCCCCCACGAGCAGCCACTGGACCTTTGCTAATGGATCACATTGTCAACTCCGTGTTGAATATTCGTTCTAACAACCCACACTTAACAGTTGCCATCACTGGTGACTTTAACAACCTTCATCAGGGTCGTCTTTGTGCAAGTTTAGGATTAACCAATCTTGTTCAAGAGCCCACCCATATGAATTCCGTCATTGATTTAATCTTGACAGACAACCCTGATGGGTATGAGAAGCCCATCCTGCTACCACCAATTGGAAACAGTCAACATAACTGTGTACTTGTGAAGCCCAAGGCAGCTACCATGGACAAGAACTTTCAAATGGTACAGTAACAGTCAAACATCAGAATGTTTATTCTTAATCAAATTTATTAATTTGTTGAGTTTTTAAGCTTTTTCTCTTTAATATATGACAAATTTTGGCAGTGCAGTATTTTCTACTTCCAAGATTATATGACATCTCTTTGTCATATCTTTACCAGCTTTCCTACTCTTACATTCTGTGATGTGTGTACTTGAAGAGGTTTTGTTTATGACTATATATCAGAGCAAACATGCTATATGATTATCATATTATGATCACAAAATTGAGATAAAAAGTCAACCTTAAATTTATCAGGTGAAATAAATGACAAATTTTGTATTACACCTGGCCACCATACTTTAGACGTGGGAAATAACAAACAGTATGTAGACAGATAGATAGCTAGATAGATAATATTGCTATTATTGTTATTACCATGACTTAGATCCAATAATAATAAAACATTGATTTCCAAAAGTAAGTTTAAAGACATTTTCTGTGGGAGTTAAATAATGGAGAATAGGCAGCTCTTACACCTGACCATCACCATCCCAGCTGTTGTAGTGAACCTGTGGATAAATGAAACTCTTGGAATATTAGACACTTGTTACAGTTAATCTTATTTCCCCCCAAATTATCAGTATAACTACAGGTATCTGATTATTAGGCTATACTGTACTCTATATCTTCAGGGTTTCCGGTCTCAAAACAGTGGGTACTTGGCCTAAAACAGTCAGCCTCAGGTATCTTGTGAAATGTGATCACTTGATTTTTTTTTTTTTTTGTAAATGTTCCAGGAAATTGTGTTATGTGCTGGCTACTGGCTTATTTTGACACTTGTGTAGACGTTAGAGAATGATGGGATACATGACATGTTTTCTTGTTAATCCCCTACACTACAGGTTTCAACACGGGGGGGGGGGGTATAAATTGGCTGTTTATCTGCCTGCTTGGAGTGATTGATATTTACAAATTAAATTTATAGATTTGGATTAGACTTTGCTGAATTTCATGAGACGGCCATATGGCATCACAAAGACTGTGACGAAGTCCCAGGTTGATGATCTGACTTTGTCTCATTTACACACAATTGCAGGGTCTCAATTGTTTCTCTCACTTTGACAACACAACATACTGTACATATATCGTTTCTCACTCTGATTTCTTTTTATTTTTTTTTATTTATTGTTGTTAATATTAATATTATTATTGTTAATATTATTTTAATTTATTTTTATTATAATTTTTAGTGTATCTCTATTAATTATTATTATTTTTATTATTATTATTATTATTATTATTATTATTATTATTATTATTATTATTATTATTATTATTATATTAATAATAATATTTTCGCCCCCCAGGCCCTGATGTGGGTCAGTGACCTGTGCCCAGGTAGGTTAATCCCATAAAAAGAAAAAAAAAGATGCTAAGTTTGAATTCTTATTTTCTAAAGGAATTGAGATGACACTTTGATTTTCATCTCAATAATAGTAATGTTTTGGGAAAGTCGCTGGATGGTTGTTTTGTTTATTTAGGTTTCACTTTGCTAGGTTAATTCTGGTACACAAATCACTCCAAAGCTACACCATGTTAACAAAGGTTTCATCCTGGAAACCCATTTTATAATGATGTGTGACTCCTATTTCAATTGCATTTTGAAATTATTAATATTTCAGTTCCATCATCTGCAGGGAATGTGTGGAGTTTGCTACACAAATACATTGCCTATGCTGTACTGTATTTTAGTTTTCAGCCATTATGCTCATCAAGAACTCACTTTTAAGTAAATTTCAGGGTGCTGCTGGAGGTATAGAACTGAACCTACCCAATGTTCCTGGGCAGCCAATTTATCCAGGCGGTGGTATGGGGGCATTTAACATCCCTCCAGGTGGTCCCCCACCACCTGATCCCTCTGCTGATCCACTCCCAGAGAAGATCAATAACAATCTACAGGTATAAGGAGCTTTTCTTATTCTTACTTTTTTTTCATGAGTTTTTTGTTTTTGTCTTTGGTGTCAGATTTACCGTTATGGGCAAAGAGATTAATTACAGTATTATTTTGCTTTATTTTTTTATTTTTTATTATGCAGTACATTGAGTCCTCCGTATTTATGAGTGTTTTGTTCCTGGAAAACTTCATGAATGCAGAATTTGAAAAAGTTGGTTAGGTTCCCAGGTCAGACTAAAGAACATACTGTACATCCATTATCTGCTGCTGGTGAGTCACTCAACACAGTAGGTGATGTAGTTCTATGCAGTTGCCTCATTTTGTGGTAAGCCTGAACATAAGCATACAGTATTTTGTATCAATATAAAAGATATGAAATTCAATACAATGTAAGGAGAAAATAGCACAATACATCACAGCCATGCTGGCTCTGACCACCTCAACAACCCATACAGTTAGTGGTAATACTGGATGACAGTTATGCACATTAACCAGTAACTTGAAGAAATGTGTCAATAGAAAATAAATGCATTCTTACTCATAAAAAGACAAAAATCTTGAAAGGAATATGTTGTTCTAGTATTTTCCATGGGTGAAACTTAATCAGTCCCAGACGTAAACATTAGAGCTACAGCTCACAGCCATGCACATGTTGGGGACAGTATCCACAGTCACTACCCAGTACATAGAGTATAGATAATAAAACATTTTAATTATCAAGAAACTATATCTTAACCAACTTTTCTTCATTAATCCATTGTTTTACCACTCATGATCAGCTAAATGTTAAGTCTGTGACTGGCTACATATCTCATTGTGTACTCAAAGTGCTGTTAATATTTCTTATTTCTGTTTTGTAAATGCTATGTTTGACAACCTTCAATGTCCATAGTGTACCATAAAGGAATATCATGGTAAACTACTAAATGTGAGTTTAACCAATGTTATGAAAATTTGTTTGGGACGGAAAAAATTGCAAAAACAAAACATCATGAACAAATAGTTCTTCTCATATTTTAAGTCTTTTCCCGAGGTAAAAGACCATTTATTTAAAAAAAATCCTTTCAGTATTTTGGGTCTTTCATAAAGGTAAAAAAGCATTTGTCATCAATAGAGAAATTCTCTCAGGTTGAGAAAATGTCATCGAGTGTTGCCGATTCACCACAAAACTGACTTGGTTCCTGATGCCGTAAGTCCACCTATATCAACACACTTATCAAAACGAAACAAAGTGTTTCTTGCACACTCAAATAATTAAATAAGACATTATTTTTATGGGTTTCTTGCACCCTCCTTTTTCATTTAAAAATTATCTCTTCATTTTTTCTGCCTAAGCTGTGTGAGGCGATGAAACCTCCGTAGTGGTTGTGTATCGTAGCTTGGCATGTTTAATGAAGCTGTGAAGTCAGCTCTGGCTTGTTGTGAATGTGCTGTGACTAGTTGGCTTGCCATCTCTCAAACAAATGAGGTTGAATTTCCAGCACCTCAGCCAGAATCATTACACCACTCAAGACAGCTCTACTTCATTGTATGCTTGCTGTCCAAATGTTCAAAACATCTTACTTCTTCTTAGTCATGTTACTACTTCATACTCTTCTCACTTGTGAGTTAAAAGGACTTATTCATGTATATTTGACTACCACTGGTGGGGGGACAGGTACAGGACTAGGTGTTGTCATTTTCTTCTATAACTAAATAATTTTTCTTCCATAATTAGTTTGTAAAGAATCTCTCTCTCTCTCTCTCTCTCTCTCTCTCTGTGTGTGTGTGTTTGTTTGTTTGTTTGTTTACGGACCATTCGGACAGTTGGTCTTTTTTGTGTTACTTTGTTATGACGTTTATTGTCAAAGTGTTGGTACATAGGAAACCGGAGTATCTGTAGAAAACTGTGATGTTTGGTTGGGTCACAGTCAACAGCTGAATGCCACCAAACTGAATACAGTATAACATTAAAAAAAAAAAGCTCTACTTTAGCTTGTCTTTGTAAACTATTCTCTTGCGTAATTTTAATTTTATATATATATATAAAGTAAGAAAATTAATGACTGGAAAATAATGTATAATATTTGTGATGTATAGTTTGTGTTTGTTATGTCTGAGCTCTGTTTGGTGTAGAGTTTGAAGTTTAATTTGTAAGGAAATAAAATTCTGTAGACTGTATTATGATATTTATACCCAGGAGGTTGATACATTGTCTGGGTGTTGCAAGTACAGTTTAGTGAACAATATAATAAAAGTTCCTCTGTACACCATTTTCACTTCACTATTGCACATGATTAATTGGAAGTTTGTATAGCAAACATGATATTTTGGCTGCTACCTGATTTTGTTTTGTTCACTTATGTGTAGTCCTGGACAGTCAATGAATAAATTTCAATAAACATAAAACAGGTTTATTGAATGGTGGTTAGTGTAGAATATTGATGTATGTATTGTTTAGTACCTTTAAACACCAGCATGCCATCACTGCACCCTGTCTCTTGTAGAATGTAAGTGGGAGTTGCCAGTGGGATGCGATGATGGATCTAGACAACTCGCCCCCTCCTGAATATTCTTCCTTTTTGCCCTCGGGCCATTCGAGCAACGTGGCCCCTGTACCTAATGCTCCGTATCCCAGTTTACCCGCCGGTGGCATACCTGCTCGCCCACAGTTCCCGCCGGATGTTCTCTCTGGTGTCGGCAGTAATAAGGTAGTTTGCCTCTCCATGTACAGATTGAATTGCCTTTCCATGTATAGATGTAATGAGGCATATTACATTTCTATTTATAGACTGAATAAGAGATTAGTAATATAGTCTTCTGTTAAAATATAGTTTGCTTATAATTCAGGGCTTAATACTGTACAGTATTAACATAACATTGTCGTAATGTTAAGGTATCTCTTTACGCTTTATTTTATATTTTACTTATATAAACATCTCGGTCTCTTATTTTCTCATGAGTTGTCCAGTCATGAAAAATTCTTAATGTGACACACAGGTCTCTGGCTAGACCAGATATTATATGAAGGAAGAAAACAGGAATGGGGTGACCACACTTGCCTTAAACCAGCCATGTCCATGTGCACCAGATAACCAAAACTCCTAGGAGCATGACCCATACTTAAATTTACAGCTTATATTTGTTAACCTTAACTTCTTGTCTCTACCTTAGACCTTTCATAGCATATTGGAATGCAACATGCCCAGGGTCTCTGTTCCTAGCTTTGAAAATCAGAAAATCTTCACAAGCATTGTTTAGGTCAAATACAGTAGACAATGTTAGTTTTTGTGTGTGATTCTATAAACAGACTTTGACCATAAGAGTCAAAGGGACAGGTCACTTAGGCTTCAGATGCCTTTCAGCTCAAAAAGTCAGGAAAACCATCATAAAGGAGCTTCAAGGCTACAGTCAAACATAAGTAAACTAAACATTAGACAACTTTATTTTTTATTTTTTGTTTTAGGCTATGTTGATAATGATGCAGATTTGTATCTAAATTTGATGCTACTCTTCCTCAACTTATGGCAGTCTGGATCCACAATTTTTTCCACTAGGAATGCAACACCAAATTGGCAGACATGCCTTGAAGTAGATATTTTTGTCAAGGAACTTAGGCAAGTTTGTTGGGTCAGTAAATCTGGAGTTGTGAGAAAGGTTGAGGCCTGTGAAAAGAATTTATGTACCTTTTTTTATAACACATGTCAGCTTTGTAAGCTACTCTACCACAAACAGTAGTTCTTAATTAAATCCCATCAAGCATATTTTAAAGGCCAGTTTTCAACATGGTCATCTGCACTAAAACTTTAGTTATATTAATGTATATTTTTTTATTTCTTAATTAGAAACAAGTTTTTCTGCATGTTTATTACTAACTCTGCTTCCTTCCCAAAGGGATCTCATATTGTAATTGAGTCTGCATCTTGTTGATATTGATTTTAGCTTATCTGTCCTCAGTTAGGTGATTAGATGCTTTCTCCCATTACTGTATTGGGGTCTTCTTAGTCCTCGGGGTTGACTTTTATATTTGTGCTCCATGAGTTTGCACTGTTAATCCTTCACCTGAAGATTAATTACTGTTCCTCTCATGAGTTTAAAGGTGTACAGCATTGGTGATATGAGGGCTTTATCCTTTATCAAGATGAAACAGTTGAAGACTTTCCTTTCGTTAATGATTACACTGGTAATACAGTACAGTACATTGATTAACCAGCAAGCTTGGGACTGGAAACTAACTGGCTTTACAGATTTTCTGAATTTGGGAAACACATAATAGACTTAAAATATACATCAAATATAAATACCATAAAGTACTATGGGAAAAATACCAAAGGTTAGAGGATGGATATTCAGATGTCACAAGGGTTAATATGAACCATTTGCAATATTGTTTATATCACTCCAGAAACTTTTCTTGGATTTCCCTTACAGAGGGAAGGACACTAGCATTTCTTCTCTTCTACAAGGGGAAGTGGTGTACACTGAGACATATTCCAAGCATGGGTGTAGCTTCCATGTAAACATATGATTGGTTAAAAAGTGCATTAAAATTATGGAATTATTGTTGAATTGGGAAAAAATTTTGTCTTTAGAATTTATTACTTTATTTTGTTCCTCACTGGTCGTTTTTCTAACATACCTACAGTACTTAAGTGTATCCTCATCACCTTTAGTGTAAAAAACAATATATTTATCTTTCATGTTTTATTTCTTTGAGAAGCATTAAATATTATGAAACTGTGATTCAACAAATAAGTTTTTAAAGATTTAATAAATAAATATAAAATGAAGACAGTTGACAGAGGATAAAGTAAAGCAAATACTATATATGCTGGTGAAAACTTTTTTCCCCATTCCTCAATAAATTTCAACACCAGCTGTTTCTATTTAAGAGTAACGGTCAGAACTTTTTTTGACTGTTACTCTCAAGATATTATTGATTGATGACAATGCATTGTGTACAATAAACATATTAATAATTATGAATTATAATGTAAATAAGAGAAATAATTAGTTAAACAATATAGCAATAATGAATTATTTATGAAAAAATAATATAATCAATAATTAAGGCTAATCTTAAAGGTATGATATGCAAATACTATGTGACCAATGAAGGATGCGACTTACTTGACCTTGACTACATATCCACAGATCCACATAATCTCCACTAAACATCCACTTCATCTCTACCTTGAGTATAGAGACAGGTTAAAGCATCTTAATTTGCACTCCCTCGAGAGACGTAGAGCGAGGGGCGACCTGATAGAGGTGTATAAGTGGAAGACAGGGCTAAACAAAGGGGACATTACAAAGGTACTCAAATTATCCAACCAGGAGCGAACTCGTAACAATGGTTTTAAATTAAACAAATTTAGATTTAGGCGTGAAATAGGTAAACACTGGTTTGGAAACAGAGTAGTGGATGAATGGAACAAGTTACCAAATATCGTCATTAACTCGAATACGCTGAATTGCTTCAAACATAGGTTGGATGCTCATATGAGCAATAGGGGTTGGGTGTAAACGGGACTGCCCAGTATGGGCCAATAGGCCCGCTGCAGTTTCCTCCATTCTTGTGTTCTTGTGTACTACACACCCACATAATCTTCACCACACTTCTACATCATATCCAGTACACATCCACTTCATCTCACATTACACAACTTGGAAGGCCACCCTTGCCACATAAGAAATCATAACTCGGGAACCTTCTAGAACTTTTGCTGAGACTTCTTGTTGTCTGAATGGCTGGCCATGCTCGTCTGTCCATTTCGCATATTGTCCGAGATGGATGGAAAAGTGTTCAAGGCTGACCCCGTCTGAAAATCACGGGGGTCCGAGTTAGCGTGGCCTTACTGTATTTGTTGGTATTGGTTCTCAGTGAAAGTAGGACTTTGTCAAGGATGTGAAATAATGGTTTTTCAGTATTTTTTATGGATGGGATTGTAAGAAAGGTGTAAGCAGGAGTTATGAAATTGCTGCAGTAGTATGATTTAGAAGATAAACTGAAAACGTAAGTGAAAGAGTTTGTAAGTGTTTTGTATATTAGGAGAAAATTACTAGATAGTGGAGAGGTTCAAGGGTATGAGTACTGGAAGGGGGGTACTCAATGGTTGTTCCATTTGTTTTCTTTCTTGCCTATCCAGGCATTATCTCAGGCAATTTTTTAGGTAGGAAGCTGAAAATTTGGACATAGTAGTGACAAAGTGCTTTGGAAGACTTTTTTTTATTCTTCCTGCTCATATTTAGTTCACAGCATGACATGGGGGCTGTGTACCGTACATTGAATGTACCACAACTTGTTGGGGGTGTTGGTGAAGTTTTTCAAAGAGATAATCTGAGTTGGATCAGGCTTTTAGAGAGAATGGAGAACAATGGTTCAAGTAATTCACAAGAGCTAGGGGTAGGCCAAGAATGAAATGGGGAGAGGTTATGAGAAATGATCCCAGAGGTATGCACCTGGCTAGAGAGGTTGCAAAAGGCCATGCAGCATGGAGAGCTACCATTCGGTAATTTTTTAACATTATTTCTTTATTCTACAGGATGGTGAACAACCAAAGCCAGCTCCACGCTCTAAATTTGGTGAAGGTGGTGCAGACTTCGCACTTCCTGAACTCCCCAGTGTTCCAGATGTTGTAGGTGGCAACACTTTCTCTGACCCCAGTGAAACCAAGGATGACATAGATTTTGATGATTTGACCAAGAGGTTTGAGGATTTGAAGAAGAAAAAGTAGATTAATATTCAATTTGTTATTGGCAGTGCTGAGGAAGGTTTGTTGATATACATAATTAACTTTCAGTATAAAAATAAATGTTAGCTTTAAATCCTTTATTTTGCTGAGTAGGATAATAGCAAAAGCATAAGGAACATTATTCCATCAGTTTTCCCCTTTTTTATGAGGCTGGGGCTAGGTTCGTACATAAGCTCAAAGTCATACCTACCAAGCTGTGTGCCAAAAGTATTTGGTGTTAAATTAAAGAACCTCATAATATTGTAATAGCATATTTTCAACCACAAAATGCATTATAAAACATCAAAATCAGTGAATAAGCTCTGTATGTAAATCATAATTATTTTTATATAAATTATTCATCGTTTTTATCAGCTTAAGCCACCTTGGAGATGGCCTGAATGTATTGAATGTACAACTGGTAGAATAATAATAATTAGGTTGTAAAGGCATAAAAGTGTATGACAACATTAATACTTTTACACAATACAAGACTATCCATACACTACACTTCTAGGTATGATTGTGTTTGTTAATAGATTAAAATCTTTCATCCAATCATCTTTAACTGACTTTTATGTTCAGTAAACCCATATTAAACTGGTCAAATAAAGCAGAAGGTTGGGTCAGATTAATTTTTTCTGTGTTTCCCAGGGTAAAAAATAAAATCACGTATGGTCACTAACTGAAAGTACAGTATACTGTGCAATGAAGGCCATTTTATAAACATTTGCAATACTGTACCTTGTTGCATACATGTTTATTAGACATGAAAATTACAAACATTGATACAAATTTGAGAAGCAAAAAAAACATTAAAATTGCAGGAGGTAACCTGTTTACATTCGCTAGAGTGAGAGGTAGTGAGTAAAACAGTGGCTACTTCAGTATCAATACAGTACTACTACTAATGTGTTTATGATCTTATTTTAGCTTCAACCACTACCACTCACTCTGTTGATGATGGAATTACTACATAGAAAGAAATAAAGTGCCACAGTATAATTACTGAAACATAGGGTATACAAAATTATAAGGTAACAAAGAATCGATTAAGTCTGGAGGCATCTTCTGGGGTAAATTACATCTCACTTGAACATGTGATAATCTCATAAGGTGATGTAGTAGACTGGATTAGTATTCTAGCATTTTCCAAATTTTGTGAGTGGAGCAATGTATCATAAACTGACAAAGAACAGTAGCTTGGATAATTTTGTGATAAATTTGAATAATTCATTATCTGTTTTTTCACAAAGTACAGATGGACCAAATTGGATCTAGTTTTTCCAGGTTTCCAGTTCAGATAAGTCCAATTGGTGGTGCAGCAGTATAGCACGTACAGTATCTCTCACCATTGTGTCAAGGGTTCGAGTCCTGCTTGGGTCGGACACATGTGAGAAGGGTGTTATCCAGTGTGACCCTACCAAACATCACAGGTTTCCTCCTTCATTAATACCAGACAGACCAACTGCCCAAACAGCTAGTAAGTGGCGAGATAATAAAAAAAAAGCGGGAACACAGTAAAAGTTTTTGCTGACTTTAATAATCATAATTTTAACACAAGATATTATGAAGTATACCTGTATATGCTTTACCTCATAATTTACAGAGTATATTATAATCTGAACACTTATTAAATGTGAACTAATTCTATTTTTATAACAATGTATTGGGTACAATATTAACATGATACTGTGCCTAAAATTTTAAAGTTAATTAAACCATAATTTTTTCTAATATTGCTTTTGGCTTATTGTAGTGCTGTAAATACCTTGAAATTGACTCACTTTAACAGAGTAAACAATCACTCAATTCTTAGCAGACATTTAATTCAACAGATTGCTCTAATTCCCTTTTAGGCAAGCTATCTTCATTATTCACTAAAACAGGGTTCTCAGACCATGTGCAATAATACTGCTGCACAGATGATAATTGAAGACTATATAAATGAGGTCCAAGCATTACTAGGTCATCATTTGTTTACTGTGGTGCATTCTGGGCGACACCTAGCTAAGCTGTGCAAGCGTGGACAATGGTGATTATGTGGAACAAGGAAAGGCCCAAACCAAATGTTTTAAAAGGTAATTGCTGTGGTATTCACGTACCACATCTCAGTTTTGCGATGTCGCAAAATGCATTTTTTAGGAAGATCTACTTTTATTGGGTTTCTCTGTTGCTAAAAAAGCAAAGACTATATTCGGAAGATAGGAACCAGACTTCTTCAACATGATTGCACATATAGTGATGTTTAGGAGATTCAACAGCCTAATATTAATTTAAATATTAAGATAACAATTGACATCTTGAAGTATCTACCAACAATACACATTTGGAAACACAACTGTATCTGATTGTTCAACAGCACAATTTTTCTTGTGTTTAGGGCAGCCACTTTCCTATCTTCCGTATAGTCATTGCTTGAGAAGGGAAAAAATAATACTAAAGAACCATTTTTTTTTATTCTATTGATTAATTTTTTTTTATTTTTTATACCAAATAATAAAATAAATGCCTATTATATAATAAAAACAAAAATAGGGTGACTAATATATCCAGGACAGTCCATATGAAACATGAAGCAATAACCTGGATTGTTTTTCCTGCTGCAAGTACAGTACCTCATAGTTAGTGCACACACAACAATCTGGCTTTCCATTATATCACTAATGTTAAACTTGGTGTGAACCAAGGCACAAGTTCCTGAAGTACAGTACTGTAGTTGTTTTTCATGTGTTAATTTCATTCAGGTTGTGACACCTTCACTTTGTTGCACTGATTAATATCTCAGTTAACATGGATTTAGTGAATGGAACTGGAGTTGCCCATAAGTATTTGATTTGCTTTTAAGCTGCTGGTAATAATTTCTGCAGATGATTGTTTCAGCATTGTATATCATGTGCCTTGTCACAAAATACTTAGTTTTAAGTACAAGTATTAGATTAAGAAAAGTTTATGTTTAATGCATACATCATTGGCAACAATGTGTATAGCCGTATTTTTTTCATAAGTATGTAATTATTAAATTCTGGTCAATATAATGCTTCTTATTGAAATATCCTTATTTGAAACACTTTGCCAAGTTATGATGATATGTTTTGATAAATAAGTATCTAGTTTACAGTTTTATTTGCTTTAATAATTGTTTTTAAGTCTCTTCCCACATAATGCAAGTTCTACTACAGTACTCACCTTTCACAAGGCCCCAAATCTTGTTTCTCCATCACTTAATATAAGCCAGCGTTACCACCACCAGCATGTCCTTTCCTAAAAATTATTTTGCACTTATTCATTCACATTGCTGTATCTGGGGTATCCAAACTCCACTTTTATTTAATTCATTATCCCATCCTCATCTTCCCTTCTACCATCCATCTCTCAATATTTCCTTTCCACCTGAGCGGACCCTGATCCACTTTGCCCATTACTTCTTTCACGTCCTCATTCTCTCCGCCCCATTCATGCCACAAAATGCTCTCAAACTTATCATATCTGTCACATCTAATTTGCTCCTTCTTGCATTCAGAGTGCATTCTTCTCCATTTTCTATTGTTCACTGCCATTAGTTCTTTTTAGCTGCCTTACTTGTATTTTAAAATACCATTTATTTATAAAGCATCTATGTTCTATCTCATCCTATTCCTTGACCCCCAGGCTTTGGTTCCTTTTTTATGACTGATGCTTATGAGACCAGTTCACGTCGCATGAGACTTCAGTTCCCGTTACATGACGGATTATTATTTCGCAGTATTATTTGAATCACCTTGCAGTCCTGGCTAGATTATGTTGCCAAGTAGGCATTTATCTTTTACTCACTTATGCATATGAGCATCCCTTCTCAGCATCTGCAATTCTGTGATAGATGGTGCATGTTTGCTGAGTCTACAACACCACCAACTGGCCCTTAAAGTCATTCGAGGTTGGTAACAACAGCTACCCTAATACAGTATACTGAGACTACGTATATGTTGCATATCCTAGCAAAATATACTGTATGTATTATTAAAGTCTATGCACCTAAATGGTTTCACATAAAGACAAATCCAGACTGTTCTCAAGGTTCAAACCATCTATGGCATTTGATTTTAAAATCAAAATACCTACCCGACAAAATGAAGGCAGTCACTGATCCTGTTATTCAGAGGAATGCCTTCTTTATGCATTCAGAAAATTTGCTGCTTGGAATGCTTTCAGATGAAAGAAGATGCATTTGTGAGATGGTAGTTCAAAAAATAGCTGCTGCCAGAAACAAGCAAGGACAAATGTCAGATGTGAGAAAATTTGTTATACCCAAAGTTCTCATCAGTGCCCGGGAGTATTGTACACAGGAATGACTGAATTCGAAAGTCCACCACATTTAAACTACCATTTACTAAACCCTCTAAGTTAAGAGAATTTGAGGCCCATCGTGGATCAAGTTGATGAAACGCAAAGACAAATTTTCCCACAAATACCCATGCCTCACACAAGCTGTTGAAAGAGGAGTGAAGTTTGTTACAGAGGCACCTCCAGCTGTCTGTGGAAATAATAGCTGCAATGGATTTATCTTAGACCAATATAAGTCAGGGTCGATGATGCCAAAGTTCAACACCAAACCTGAGGACAAATGTCAGTAAGACAACTGCTCTGAATATGGTTGGGAGGATGGGAAGGGCAGTGGTGGAACTGGAAGTGCAGCCACCTCCCCGTGGTGAGTTCTGGGTAATTTATGCAACACAGCATAAATTAGCGAAGAGCTGTACATAAATACGTACGAGCAAAATCACATGCATTTTTACCTTTGAGAATTTAATAAGTTGAGTATCGAACAAAGTTTAGTCTAGGATATAAAACTGTGCTCAAATACAGTACAATATTGACTTAAATACAGTATATATACAGTATAAAAATTATAAATGTTGAGGATGTGCTTTGAATGTTTCTTAAATGATGATGGGCCACCTTTAATTATATTACTATACCAATCATATTTTGGGCATAACATTAGTACATCTATTGACAAATTTGAAAGAACAGGTATATCCAGGTTAAAAAATACAGTGGAGTCACAATAATTTGCTAAATACAAATTCAAGTTCTTAAATTTGCGATTACAATATCTCTATTTCTACCTCTTTTTTTTAATTTGTTTCATTCAAATATTCATACTTCATGGCTGAGTAGTGGCTGCCTCATTGTTTATTTACATAGGAAACCATAAAATTGTGGAAATCTCATTTCAATGCCATTGTGTGACTTAACATTAAAGAAAATACAAAATATTGTAAATATAATTTCATTGTACTAATGTGATTTAGAAATAAAGAAAATATAATATAAAACTATAAAATAAGAAAAATGATAGTGACAAGTGAATTCTGTTTGGGAGAGATGGGAGGTTTGGTGGTTGGACTCGGTGGAAAATTCCCCTCTGTCATCACAGACCCCATTAAAATAGCAGTATGCAATTTCACCATAGATTCATTTAGTACTGGGTTAATAAAACATTATCGTTAACTAATAAATTTTCACAGGAAAAAAATCCAACCCTCAATCCCAGATGTGTTCTTATGTCATATTAAATTACCAGTGTTTAGTTTACATAGCCAAACAGCTGACCAGCCAGACAGCCCACTGGCTGCACATCTCAGTGTTAGTGTACTGTATTGACATAACCTAAAGGATGATTATGAAAAGAGAAGGAGCTGTTATTGTAATATAGAACTACAGGTATTACCAAATTTATTAATGTACATGGCAGAAAGTGGTTATTTTAGCTTGTGAGAAACTATAACTTAAATTTACTTTAATGTTTGATTTATAACGCTGTGACAGATCAAACAAAACATGAAGTATTAAAGATTGCCTCGGCAAAATTATCTCTACTGTAAAAAAATCTATCTTAATATATGAGGTGGGAAACATAGGTGTTGGCAGCTGGCAGTAGTTATGCTTCACGAGAAAGCAGAAGCTGGTCTAGGGCACTCACTGACTCATTATCTACAGTATACAGGTTGACAATCCCTTATCCGAAATCCTTGGGACCAGATGCATTTCGGTTTTGGAATTTTTCGGTTTTGAGAATGGTTAGGGTTTTTTTTTTTTTTTTATCATACAGGGATCAGCCCACCCGGGCACAGGTCACTGACCGACATTGGGGCCTGGGGGCTAAAATATAATAATAATTCATAGGTCTAGGTCGTGTTTCTCACTTTTGATCTTTTTTTCATTCTTGTATTTCTTTATTATTATTATTATTATTATTATTATTATTATTATTATTATTTTATTATTACAGTATTATTGTTATTATTATCATTGCTGTCATTCTTATTTTATTTTTGTGTATTTTTTTAAATTTTTATTACTATGAATAGTTATTATTATAACTGTATTAACATTATTATTATTACTATTACATTTTCACCTCCCAGGCCCCGATGTGGGTCAGTGACCTGTGCCCAGGTGGGCTGTTACAAAAAAAAATTTCTCCACTAAAAAACTTTCGGTTTTCAGAGCTTTTCGGTTTTTGGAATTTCGGATAAAGGGTTGTCAACCTGTACCATTAATACTTGGCTAACACAAACAGCATAAATCTCCAGCTCTGGTGGCTACAGACAGCACTATATGCAGCTTCAGCAATCACATCAGTTCAAGTTTAATACTGTTAGGTTAGGTTAGGTTTTGGGGAAGAAAGTCTTTGGGCTGAAGTGAATCTCCGTTTATAGTATGGGTAAATTTTTTCTAGGATGGAACACATCTCATCCTTTGGGAAAATGGGTCCTGTTTAGTGAGAATTTACCGAACAAACCCTTTTTCAATAACTATTATTAGTCATTAAACAGAACCTTATTGTATACAGTAAACCCTCGGGGTAATGGACTAATTGATACAGTTAATGTCCAATAATCCTGATAAGCATTGTTAACCAGAGGGAAAGTCTGAGAGGCCACACTGGCATCACAGTTTGAGTGCATAGCCCGCACCATAAACACCACCACCATTGTACTCCACTGTGTGTTCACAAACTGCTCCAATATATAATACAGTTTAAGTGTACTGGATACTTAAGTGTAGTATGTATGTATGTAAATGTAACAGTGAGTGTAATACAGTGGTTTAATAAGTGAGTACACATGTACTGTGAAGATGTACAAGTGTGTATTGTAGGTTGAAGTGTACAAACTCATACAGCACTCAGGCACTGTCCATTTGAAACAGCTCTGGGATGTTTTCTGAACTACAGCATCTACAAGGTAGAATGAAATTTCAGTTGTATATTATTTTTGTATTATGTAATTTGGTATTTTATTTTGACTAACATATTCTTTATGCAGTGACAAACTATCAAACAACTCCTCAGGGATAAGGGATAACAGACGTTTGTTTGTTATCTCGAGGGTTTGTCCGATAGGGTTAGGGCGTCTCGTATAACCAGGGTCTGTGACATAGTGTCCGTTATACCGAGGGTTTCATGTACCATATATTTGTTCATTCTATAAAAACTCATCTAGTACTCCAGCATTCATAATCTTTGTTTTCACAGATAATCTCAAGTTTAATATCAAACACTTTACAATGAATGGTAGGTAATAACTCTTAACACTAGAAAAAATTTATGAATTATACACCTAAGAAAATTTTTTCTATCTTATACATTAATTCATTGATTAATCTTTTTTTGTCTGGAGGGAAGTTAGTTCATGTTTCCTGTGACCAATATTGGTCTGGCTCTTTCTAATATGTCCATGTTTGGATCCAACATTCTTCCGAGACCTTCCAGGACGAATATTGCCAGAACTACAGCACTGAAGGCCGACTCCAGGCGGACGTGGTGACGTAGAAGGATACCCAGAACCTGTTGTAGCAGCATTCCCACATCCACCTATAAAATACATCCTGTGAGTCAAAACACAAAAAATTTTGATGTTCTTTCATGAATGTAAAAAAAAATGTATATATCTATAGCTCTAATTTGTCAGTCATTTTGTATTTAAACTTAACAGAACAGGAGTTATGTTTACATCCTTTTAGCTGGTCACTAACACAGTAGAATATGCATAATGACTGAAAATGTTTGCCAAGGAAAAAGCCGTACTGTACTGCACAGTACAGGTTGACAACCCTTTATCCGAAATTCCGAAAACCGAAAGTTTTTTTGTGGGGCAATTTTTTTTTTTTTTTAACGGGTTAGCCCACCCGGGCATAAATCACTGACTCACATCGGGGCCTGGTGGGCGAAAATGTAATAGTAATAATAATTATAATAATAATTATTCACAGTAATTAAAACTTTTAATTAAAATACTGTACACCAAAATAAAATAATAATGATAACAATAATAATAATAATAGTAATAATAAAATATAATAATAAAATTAATAATAATAATAATAACAATAATACTGTAATAAAATAATAATAACAATAAAGAAATACAAGAATGAAAAAAAGATCTAAAGTGAGAAATGCGACGTAGACCTATGAATTATTATTACAGTATTATTATTATTATTATTATTATTATTATTATTATTATTATTATTATTATTATAATAATAATATTTTCGCCCCCCAGGCCCCGATGTGGATCAGTGATCTATGCCCGGGTGGGATTAAAAAAAAAAAAATTCTGAAAACCGAAAAATTCCGAAATCCGAAATGCCTCTGGCCCCAAGGATTTCAGATAAGGGATTGTCAACCTGTACAGTATGTTGCAATATGGTTATATGCAACACACTGTACTAACATTATACTGTACAGTACAGCATAAAGAAAAAATTATTTCAATGTACAATACAGTAAATTCTTATGTACTGTATACATTATACATGATCTCTGTTGCTACAAATTATAGTGAACAAGACTAATGAACACAGATTTTTTTTATCCACAGATCTCTCAGCATAAAGGCAGTTTCAGTTTTACATACTCCCATGGCAGGGTAACTGAGACAGCAAAGCAGCCAATAAGTTAAGTATAAAATTTACCTACTAACTAATAATTTAATGTAATTGCATAAATGTACCATGTTACTTATATTTCTAACATTTGGCCCTTGTTGTTTAAAACCCTCACTGTCCATTATCTTCAGTTCACAGGGCATGGTCAAAAATTTTTAATTATATATCTTTGACCTTCCCTGTCTTTTGCAATAAATCATTACCGGGATAGAAATTTCTTTTGCAATAAATCATTACTGAATATAGCTATAAGAATAATGAATACCTGTCCCAGGGATATGGTGTTTTCTCTGGCTGTCTGCACAAGATCTGTTATTTCTCCTTTGAAGGCTTCTGGATCTTTGCACTGATGCTCACTATTGTTGAGGAAAAGATCTGCAACTGATTCACCCTGTAAATATTTTTCTTATTAGGAAAAACTAAGAGATTTAGCTAGACACAAATCAATGGAAAGGTTCCCTAAAACAGCTCCAGTCATCACTGAGAATATAGTGAATATGCCAAGTAAGAACATTGCAACTCTTCCCTTTCTCAGGCTTTACTAAAGTAATACATCTAGTTACAATGGAAACAAGAAAACCAAAACTCTTACATCTCCAAGCACAATTTGCTTAAATACAGCCCTTATGTTGTTTAGATTTTGTTGACTGAGCTTTGACACAAAGCCGCAGTCCAAGATACAGATGCGCAGGGGATTTGGATCTGGCTGTACATCCATGACAAAAGTGTCACACCCAACATCCACCATCACGATGCGAACAGTGTCTCCAGCAGAGGTGGTTCCACCTTCTTGACCATTACTATTGTTCTGCACAAGCATATTCCCTGGGTGTAAGTCTCCATGAACGAGATTGTCCACAAATACCTGTGAAAGAGGTACTGTACAGTATTGCATTACAAAACATATAACCTACAGGTGTCTTGTTAGTTGACCCTTCTGTATCTTTACCAAAACTATTACAGTACATGTGCAATTTTATATTATTGTCCTCTAAACCTATGCCATGTCTGATGAAAAATTAATCTCCAATGGTTTCTGTGAGACCAGCAGTAATGAAAAACTGAAAACACCAATAACTGTACAGAGAACAGTCCTACATGAAATTAAGACCAGATAGTGTAGAAAAGAACCGAAGTTAAAGTCCAAATATGTTCTTCACTGAAGTAAAGAAGAATACAGTGTACAGGTAAACCTCTATTTACAATATATCCCAATCCATGATAATTAGCTTTAATGATGCGGGTATATTAAGGCCACTCCTGTATTTGCTATGTAAACAAGCTCGATTAACAATATTCACCATCATGCCAACTCGGCAAACGGAACACATCACTTGCTTCACTTGTCAGTTAAGGCGCCATCTACCCAAACACCACCACGTTGCCATCTGGTGAACCACAGTCTAGCCATTGTTTAGTATTTTTTTTAATCTTACAGTGAGAGGACATCACTAAAGTTCATATTGTAGTCTGTTTTGGTGAATGAAGTGATTATTGCCATGTCTTTTGTCACTGAATAATGCTAAGCCTCTGTGAACATGAGGTGAACAGCGGCAGCCGATATCAGTGTTTTTTTTTCCCCTACAGGTTACAGGAAATTACAGAGCTTCACAGTGTACATGTACTCAGTTTTATTGACAGTGAAGTGCTTTTATCTGCTTTAGTGATCATGAAGTGTTTTTGCACTGACTCTGTAGTGCTATTCCTGGTTTAGTGACTGAGGTGCTTTTGCTCTAACTGTGAAGTGCTTCCCCTGTTTTAGTGACTGTGAAGTACTTATCCCTGCTTTTAGTGACTGTGATTTGTAATTTTACACTGACTGCCAAGGGACCCAGGAAAACCATGTCACTGGAGGTGAAGCTTGATACCATGAAGCGGCATGAGATTCCCCAAAGGCTGTGTGGGAGTCAGAGTGACATCTCCACTCCTCCTTCAAGAGTCCCCTTAGCCCCGAAGTGGACATGTGATGATAACTAGACTTGATCATAATGATGTGGTGAGTGTTGTTTAACTATGTTGTAGTGCTAGTAATATTCTTGGATTTTATTTTATAAGTATTTTCATTTATTTTATTATTATTATTTATTAATTTTTATATATATATGGGTTTCTGACTGGCCAGGAACCTATCCCATTGAATTTTATGTTATGATGAACCTGATTTACGATATTTCGACCTGCGATAGGGTTATCAGGAACCTAACCCCATTGTAAATACAGGTGTACCTATGCAAATATCCACTTTCTGTGGTATTGATAATCCTATTTCCAGAGCCTACAGAATAAAATGGGCCATGTTCCATGATGAAATTATACTTAACCCTTACGTCCCGGGTGACGTTCCATAACACCCGACTGGCGCTTTCCCAACACTATTTGAATGCCCAGTGTGGGTTATCAGGTTCCAATGTGGCTATTTGCCTGTCACGCCACACGCTTGACCACAGGGAAGCTTCCTGAATGTAAGTACCTACTTTTGTTTAATTTTCATCATTTGTCCATTTTATCATGTTGTATCAAAGTAAAATTGCTAAAAGTAGTGTAGTATTACTGGAAATTAATGCTATGATTATGTTATAAATGTATTTATTTGTGGAATTATTATTCCCATAATTATTTTATGCATTACTTGCTCTCCCAAACACAAAGACAGCTTGGCCGTGTGTGTTGCCGAGCACTTTTTATGAGAAATAATGGAAAAAAATATTCTAAATGAATTATTTATAGGAAATAAGTACAGTATTATGATCAGTAAATATATGCATTACTGGCCATCCCGGACACAAAGGCAAGCAGAAAATGGCCACTAAGTGCGTAGTGACTACGACTGCTATTCATAAAAGCAACACTGTCCCCTTATCTCTCTTGCCACAGGGAAGTTTCTAGAGGGTCAATATATAGTTTTTCTTACTTCTAAATTTTGATTGTTTTGTCACTTAAAAAGGTTAAAAATTATTTTTGGAAAAGGTAACTTTTCTCGATTTACCCCGCGTGCGGGGTACGGCCAGCGGCACCCTAGCCCAGGGCGTCGGGGTTAATTGAAGGGGAGTAGAGTGCTGGTGTTAGAAGACATGGTGGCTCTCCAAATATCAGTGATTATCTAGGGAGGCTGATAGCCAATCAGCAGCATGCGTAAGCCCTTCGTCACATCCGCACCTCACTCCTGCCTCCCACCAGTCTTCTTTTCTTTTTTCTTTTTTTAATAATATAGTGCCTTCAAAAGTAAGTTCATCAGAGAATGATGTGGCCCTTGGTATGTCAGGGTATTCAAGATACAAATTTTATAAAAATCACTTCCAATTTGATAGAGAAACACCTGTAGTAATTAATACTGTACTGTATAATTATAAAAACTTTTAATGTATTTTCTTATAACTTGATTTTACCGAGGTCATCACAATACCATATACTAGATGTTTACAGAACAGCCATTATTTTATGACTTTTTATATGTTAATTTACCTTAAATATCATAGAATGCTCATTTTCCAAGTCTTTCAAGCCATTGTTGAGGCTTTTCCTAATTACCTTTTACTAACAAAAAAAGTACCAACCATTTTCAACAATGCATCAACACCAATCACAGCCAAGCGCTTCCTTAGTTCTTCATTTGAATCTTCCTCTGAGGATTTGATGAAGTTGATCATTGGTTCACCGTCCTCATATGTCTCCACCAACACCTGCTGGTACAAGAATGGCTTAACTCTGTCACACTGCCTCCACATTAGATCAGAGCTACTATTGTCAAGGGTTGCCGGAGTTTCTGATGCTAGAATTTGTGAGCAGAGAATAATAGGTCAAACAAATTAATTAAATCATCCCAGCAAGAACATGGATACTGGTAATTTTGAAGCCTTAAACTGTCTAATACCCAGTCAAGAGTTAATCACAGCTTACCTTTTTAGTCACATAAGGTCTCAGTGGTCTAGGAAATTTGATAAAGGAGATGTCAGCAAAATTTTCTGAAAATGTTTCCAAATTTTCCGCTTCTGTCTTTAGATTGATCTGAAAGCATAACAAACACTTAATAAATACTTATTAAAATATGGAAACATACTAAAAATGAAGCTAGTATAAATGCACTTATGAATTCCACTACAAAGGACAAGTTGTCTTTTTTTTCCCAAAGATTTCTAAATTACAGATGATCCTCTAATTATAAACATGCGACTTACAAGCTTTCAGAAATATGAACAAACCTGCCCACATACCTATCCAAATGACTTTAAAAGCTGAGAGTCCTAAGTATAGCTATCGACAAAATTAATATAAGCTACTGTTAAAGGCTGGTAAGATATCCAGTATAGTCTCGATTTACGCGGATTTCCTTTACGCGGCACCTGGCCAGACGCGCAATTATTAATTACGCGATACATTCCATCATTTACGCGGGAAGCAGCGTGGGCTGGGTACGCGCTAGGTCGCCCAGTCAACAAAACTTTACCGAGTTCTTCACCTGCCACCGCCAGCCCAAGTCAGTGATAGTGAGGATATGGACTTTGAGGGGTTTGACAAAGAGGCCCTGTAAGCCTCTGTGGTGGATAGTGATACAGGTGAGGGCCAATAATCTGCCCTCTGCCTCGGAACCAACCCCCCATCCTTGTGTGCCCAGCCATCTCTTCTACTATCGTAAGTGTTAAAAAACCTAATATTATTGATATTTCTCTTAAATATTAATTGTGTGCATACCATCATAAAATTAAAATGTTATTTTTACTACAATGTACGTATTGTGTCAGAAAAAGGGTAGTCTGGGGGTCGGCCCAGTCTCTGTTTCAATTAATCCCATATGTTCTGTTATTTTGTTTACGCGTTTCTCGTTTTACACGGACCTCCACGGGTTTAATTGACCGCGTAAACCGAGACTACTGTATACTGTACAGTTGTGTAGAGTAATGTGATGTATTTATTATTGGGGTACATATAGCTTTACTGTACATCCTTTATTTTATTTTTGTATTTTCTTACAATATGTTTGGCATCTATAAAAGTAAACTTGGTCTTATGGACAAATGGACTTATGAACAAGCCTCAGAAACTTAACTCGTTTGTAAGTAGAGGAGCACCTGTCGGCACTTCTAACATGTTGATAAAGGTTCAGTGGTAAAAAAATTTATACAGTATTTGGATAATTACTTGTCTTAATGACTCGTGCAATGCTAATTACATGCCACCGATGATTTTTTATGGCACTCACAGCCAAGCCGATAAATTGTTGTTGACACATTTCATTTAAAAATATATAATTTTACCTTTAAAATTAGATTTTTTCACTGTTTCTTGATAAAAGATGTGCTTTGCCAACCACTGGGCATGTCTCTTTTGTACTTGTTATGCACAATTTGGGACAACAACAATTGATTACAAATGACAAATTAAAGTTTTATTCCACCTATCACTAGACGACAGCATGAGCTTCTTACCTGAGGGCGATGTCGTCTGTTAGCCTGACCGTTGATTAAGTACTGTACTGTAACTTACTTACCAATGTTCTCTGAGGGATAGTAGATGCATAATAAGATATGCTTGACAGCTAAAGGGAACTTTTAGCTGTTTCCACTCACCTTGGTGAACTTTATCATTATGTTCTTGTGTATTAATACCTCAAACGAGTCTTCACTGATGCTTGTCATATAATTAGTGTTATAATGTCAGATAAAATGTGTTATGAAGAAAGGAAAGGAGTCAAGCGAAAAAAAAAACTAAAATTAGTTTTGTTTACTTTATTTAGGTTTTGTGAGAATAGGGTAGATGCAGTTCCACTCTCATGATTAAAATGAAGGTCTATTGTGCAGCATTGTTATCCCAAATTTTTCATGGACTGTATTATTTTATTTACTTTGTACGATACCCTGTACAGTACATATAGAATACTGTACCATGTATATAATCATTGCATTTTATATACAGTAGCATATATAATATTGTCAAGTATTTTTAGGCTACAAGATCACCTGCTACCAGCACTCAATTTTGGTAAATACAGTATGCACACTCATCTATCTTTTGCAAGAAATTTATATCTTCCTCTTTTGCAAAACATTCTTTATTAAGTCATTCTTTAGCATGGGTCCAGGATATTTTTTTACGTCTGTGATACAGTTTAAAGACTGTTAACACACACAGAAAAAGCAGAGTGAAAGCAGTGATTTAAGAGACTATACTAAAAATACTTAAGAAAATCATTAAAAGTCATGGTTATCTAGTTTATTTTCCAAGGAGCGGGAGATACAGCTTCTATTAAGTACTAATACAGTACACCAAGTATTCTAAAAATGGACTGGTAGACAGTAGTGGTCTCATGCTAATGGCTTCAGGCCAGTGATGGATTAAGGTACCTGTTCAAAGTACAGAAGTTCTTGAATTACTGCGCATTGAGAAAACTTTTACACCACACAATAATATTTTATTTATAGAAAAAGAAAGTGACTCCAAGTAACCCATAATGTTTACATACCTGAGCAGTCACTACTTCACTAAACTCATCAACACACTGAGGAAGTGACAGCCATTTAACTGATGGGAAGACGAATGTGATGAACCATGCAAATGCTCTCATGATCCTTAGATCCCTCCTGGGGACAGAAATGTAAACTATGGGATGATGGATATTAGGCCAATTAGCTCATACAGCAGTGCAGAAATTACAAGAAAGAACTGCTTGAAGAATAATACTGTAAAGTAATAATATTTCTCCCACTGAAAACTTTACCTCCAAAAATGCAGCCACTCCGGTATGTTTGATAAACAGTATTTCAATTAAATATTAAAAAAGTAGATGCATATTTAATAAGTTTTTAGTGGAAAAATACTCAATTAACATCAGATTCCAATATACAGGTAGTCCCCGACTTACGTCCACCCACACTTACGGCCGCCTCAGTTGTACCAAAATGTGGACAAATTATGTATTCTTGAGTCCCAAAGTCAGTACACAGACAAAATTTTCATCTGGCTGGCAAGCTTAAAAGTGAGTGTTTTGTGGTGCTGAGAAGAAAGAGACCCAAATTTTCGATTATATGTGTTATTTAAGCATTTCCGACTTACGACCATTTCGACTTACGACCTGGATGTCGGTCCCTAACCCCGTCGTAAGTCGGGGAGTACCGGTAAAGGACTTCACTTTAAAGTACTGTATGTTTCCTCAGAAGTTACCATTTAAGTGAGCAAGTTACATTCCTTCTCACATCTCTAGCCATTAGAAAATATTATTCTAAATACATGCAAGTGTTTAATTCCAGGATTATAAATATGCAAACATTCCACTGCCTTGTTGTCTTACTTGAAGGCTGACTGTACACCTGGGTGAAGAACTTTGATGGCCACTGGCACCAGACCCTCCAGGTCATCTGGTGGGGCTTCATCAAGTGGCAGTGACTTATCATGACTATCGGTACCTTCCTGCCATTCCTAAAATAATAAACAATTAATATTGGCAGTTTTCAAAATTGGCTCACACCTTGCAACACCAGCTGTTGTGTTATTTGCATCAGCTATTTCTTCTTTAGTAACCACATACCTTAACCTTGGACATAGACATTTTAATTTGGCCTTCTGCACTACACTTCGTCGAGTGATTATGCATTTTCACACAAACTTTATTAAAATATCTGCATTAGTATAATTGACACAATAAAACATTTTAACCTTTGACTTATAGACTTGAATATAATAACCAGCACTTTGTCTGGTCATGACGCTTATCCCTGATAAGTCTTGTTAAGTTTGGAAATTTGATCTCAAGTTGTGACCTGACCATTTATGAAACCATTAATACTCTGACAATACCTACCGGTACATCAGTACATGTTGATTACCGTAAACTGTCTTCCAAGTATGAAGTTAATCCAATTATAACTGTAGGACTAATTACGTTAAGAATCTTTTCAGAATGAAAGGATAAATAGGACAAACACGAATGCCCTCTCTGACAAAGGCATAAAGGTTGTTTATACCCATCCACCTTAAGAATTTTTTTCCAAATATAATTTTCTGTGCATCCTCCTCCTATGGGTCTCCAAAAATAATATGGCCAAGTTGAGATAAATATCTTCATCTAAATTTACCTCACAACTCCAGATGGTCACAGAGAACAATCTTACAGTGCCCTGTGATGAACCCATTGGGAACTAATAATTAACCCCAAGTCAACTTACCTCCACCAGAGAATGCGTGAGTAAGTCTTCCTCAACCTCGCCCTTAATATTTGCCCCAGGCTCTGCTGTTTCTCTGGAGTCAACTGCTGTTTGGTCTTCACTATTTAATACATCACTTGCTAAATTTTCTACTATGGACAGTACGTCAGTTTCTTCTTTAGGAATTTCAACTGTTTGTACTTTAGGTGGTTGGCCTTCATTTTCTGCAAGTAGAAATGATATATGCTTTAGGAAGTCACTCTACTGGCTATTTGCCTGAAGTTAAATAAACCTCCATGCAATGTGAGTGATGCATTCATGTACAATACTGCACTGCAGGAAACTACATTATCTGCTTTCTTAGCTCTGTACAGTATAGAAATACTGTAATAAGTCTATATTCCTCTTCTAAAAATTAGCAGAAAAATAATATTGTTAGTGCTATCAATGATCACTAAACACTAGATAATGTATATGATTTTGATACAGTTCAAAATTTAAAACAATGAAAAATTTCAGATGTGCTCAATCAATGAATGATATACTGTACAGTGCAATGATTAACACTCAGACAGCGCCAATCTGCGCCACAGTACTCCACAATGGTACTAATTCTGTTTTAAACATATTTTTTACTAATAATATCTGTAAACGTTCTGAAAGTGATATCACTGGCAATTTGACCAACAAGTCAAGGAAATGCATCAGTGTGGGTGTAAAAATACAGATCATAAGACATGTGGAGGTGGGTGAGTGTCAGGTTGATATTGGTTGTAGCTAAGGACAAGGCAGTCCACCCTAAAAGTCTCCTTCATGTAGCCTGCATTCCCAAAGAATGATGAGCCACAGCCTGACTTAGCCTCCTTGCAGCAGCTCCTTCAATCTCATTTCCTATTGCTGCCATGTAGGAGTAGGATTGTGTTAGGAGCAATGGCAGGTGATGGTCAAACTTATGGAAGTTCCAACTGAATGCACTGGTGAGTGCATGTATATAACTTGTATTTTTTTATTAAATATCATGTCATTTTGTTTTTATTACCATAATAATTGATCATTACGATGTTTTTAATTTTACCATAATACCATTATGTGAAAAATTTCACTGTGCACATCAATTACTTTCAGCCAAGCAGCAATCAACGATTAGCTTCTACATGTGCTGTGCAGCATGGAAGATGATGGCAGTCTGCTATGAGTGCTGCCATTATGTTCAGCCTTAAGTGTGTGTAGCCCGAGTGTTTACCCATATACACAATTATTTCTGTAGAAATCACACCAAATCACTTAAAATAAGTACAAAAACACCAACAGAGCTTCACCGAGCACACCCTGTGTGAACAAACGCCAAAAGAGTCCTATTAAGAGTGAAATTAGACATTATTAAATAATATACTGTATGTGTGTGTGGTGAAAGATCAACAGTTGACATATTCTTATGACAGTGAAAATATGCACACAGATCTCAATTGTTGAGTGTATGTACAGTACTGCCGATGCAAGAACCCTGTACTACTGTAAGATTGTATTTTACATTGTATTTAATTCTTATATTTATTATTTTGCATTCTCTAATTTATTTATACAGTTTGTTTACATCATATTACAGAATCCAGTACTGTACAGTATATGGATAATTAAAGAGAGGTAAAGCAAAGTCTTCTCTTTCTAGATCTTTTTATCCACAAAATAATGATTAGACATAAATACCTGTCATTTCCTCTTCCCAGAATTATTTTAATCACAATACTGTTTACAGTAATCAAAGTGTGCATATAAAGATTCTAGTGAGGCATAGTTACCTGCTTGTGACTGTTGGATCAACAGCTGTTGTTGTTCCTTCTTCTGATGTCTCTTCAATTCTCGTTGCTCTTGCCAATCTTGCAATGCACGAGCTTGTTCCAACTTCATCAAATTTTCTGAACTAAAGAGGTTTCCAAATCCCATGACTTCCAGTCCTGAAAGTTCAAATGATTAAATTTTGCTGAGACACCTCGACACCTCACATCTTGTACTGCACTGTACCTACTGTACAGTAAAGCCTCTAATAACGACGTTAATGTGTCCTCCAACATTGCAGTGTAAGGTGAATCGTCTTATCCCGAATCATTAATTACCATTAAAATAAAGCAATGATAATGAGATGCGTTCCCAAGTGTGACCTTTTCATATCTTTTGTGTGGCTTTTTACCCTCTTCCCCCAAAACAATACAATTAATGAAAATTGCAAACTAGTATATTCTTTAAATAATGTTTCTGAATGCACCTTATACAATATAAATTAATAATAATATGGTCACACAAGAGGAGATGGGACACCATTGTTTTCGTTTGTGTTTACAGCCGGGAGTCCAAGACGATAGTTCTACACGAGAAAATTAAGAAAATAAGACCCTGGTTGTAGCTGTAGTAAAATGAATGTAAACAAATTAATATATATGTTTTAAGTAACGTTATTTAATGTTAATAAATGGAACAATAGAAGTAGCTAACCACTAATGGGAAAAAATAAATAAAATTAATGGATTGGGAACGCCAACATATACATACGTGCGCATTAAGGATACCGCGTCATTTATCTTTTTAAGAATACATTGTATGTACAAAAGATTCAATGTTGTTTATTACTGAATATGTACCGGGTATTTAATTGAATAAATTTTTATACAGTCAACCCTCGCTTTACGCGGTCCCACATTCCGCGTTTCCACGTTTAAGCGGTACCCTGCCGAAACCGGAATGCTCACATTCCGCGGTACGTGTACCCCTTTACACGGAAAGCGGCGCGAGCAGGGTGCACACAAGGTCGCCCAGTCATCAAAACATTACCGAGTTCTTCACCCGCCACAGCCGGCCCAAGTCAGTGATAGTGATAATTATAGTGAGGATATGGACTTATATGGACTTTGAGGGGTTTGACAAAGAGGCCCTGCAAGCCTCTGTGGTGGATAGTGATACAGGTGAGGGCCAATAATCTGCCCTCTGCCTCAGAACCAACCCCCCATCCCTGTGTGCCCAGCCATCTCTTCTACTACCGTAAGTGTTAAAAAACCTAATATTATTGATATTTCTCTTAATTATTAATTGTGTGTGCATACCATCATAAAATTAAGAAGTTATTTTTACTACAACGTAGTATTGTGTCTGAAAAAGTGGAGTTTGGGGGTCGGCCCGGTCTCTATTTCAATTAATCCCATATGTTATGTTGTTCACTTTATGCGTTTCTCACTTTGCGCGGGCCGCCGTGGGTTGAATTAACCGCGTAAAGTGAGGGTTCACTGTACAGTATATGCAAAATGAACAATACAGTGGTCCCTCGGTTAACGAACACAATTCGTTCCAGAAGGTCGTTCGTTAACCGTAAATTTCGTTAACCGAACCCATTGTTTCAATGGGATATTGGGTAATTAGTTCCAGCTCACCGAAAAGTACATACAAAGTATAAAAAAATGCAGTAAAGTACACTTACTTTGAGGTGTGTATGTAGAAGGCTCCTGGTTGATGATGATGATGGGAATTAGAAGTGGGGTGGAGGAGAAGGGAGAAGAGAAGGAAGTGGGGATGGAGGAGAAATCACCTTTCAGGGGACCCATGCTTGATGCCGTCATTTCACCAATAAAATTTTAAGTTCACTGTGTGTAATTCAAGATTATTTTCTTTAAATCAACACTGCACTGCTCTATATATTATCAATATGTTAACTAAAGTTCAGAATGACCAATAATTTCAATGAAAAATGCAAAAATATTCAAGACACTAACAAAATAGTTGCTCTCTTGATTGTAAACAAAGCCAGACTGACGCCTGGTGGCCGACCCACGCATCTGATGGGTGCACAACTAGTTAGTTTCCTGTACCGCATACTGTATATTATCAATATGTTAAATAAATGTTAAAATTTTAATAGAAAACATGCATATACTGTATATTATAAAGCACAACTTTATTGATATTTACTCCATTGGAAATGAATATAAACATAGAACAGATTACTGAATTGGCTGAGTACCCCCTCAGCTGATCAGCTGATGTTCAAAACAAAATGTGATTTTCGTAAGGATTTTGTGAATCAAATTTTTTTTCATTAACTGAATTGAAGATTCTTATGGAAGGTAATTCGTTAACCGAAACGTTCGTTAACTGAGAGACCACTGTACAATTCATTAATAATATGTAGAATATTAAAACACACAAGAGGATAAGAATTGGCATTGTTGTCAGTGTTTACACCCATAATGCCAGTTATCCACCTAAAACTGAAGAAAATAAGACCCTGGTTGTTGTTGTAGTAAAATTAATGTGAAAAATATGTGTTTTAATTAATGTTATTTAATGTACAGTAGAAGTAACCACTGATATTAAAGAAAAAGTGAGACTGATAGTGGAACGTCAATGTATACAGTACGTGCGCACTCAAGGAAAGTCATTTATCTTAAGAATATGACAAAAAATTCATTATTGTTTATTCCTGAATATGTATTTGATTTAATTAATGTTTATATACAATATGTGAAATGAACAATGCAATTCATTAATAATATGTTGAATATTAAAACACACAAGAGGAGACAAGAAGGCATTGTTTTCGTGAGTGACGATGGTTCTACATAAGAAACTGAAGAAAATAAGACCCTGGTTGTAGCTGTAGTGAGCTTAATTAAAAAAAAAATTAATACCTGTAAGTATGTTTTAAGTAATGTTATTTAATATTAATAAATGGAACACTAGAAGTCGCTAACCACTAATGGTAAAGAAATAAGGCGAGACAATTGGGAACACCAACCTATGAACAGTAAGTGCGTACATGTGAAAACATATCGTCATTTCTCTACACATGATTATGAAAGCAACATTTATTTTCTGTTCATATATGTTTTAAATAATATTTGCGAATGTAAAAAAAAAAAAAAAAATTCTACTCACAAATGGTGGTAAAGTCTAAAACATAAGGACATCCAATGAATATTGTGCGAGTTTTTACTCATATGACGAAGTCATCAGGTTCAACTCTGGCTGAAGCTGTAACTTTCCATAAAGCTGTTGCTGAAACTGTTACTGAACGTGAAGTTGATGTTGAAGCTGCTTATGATGCCGAATTTGATGGTGTAGCTAAAGTTGATGGCTTAGGCCTTCGAATAATAAAGCTATCGAAAAAACCTTGCACAGCTACTTTCTTTTCTCATTATACATCCTTATGTAGAGGTCATTTGCATTTATTTCAATTTCAATGCTTTGTTCTGTTAATGGATCCACTTCAGAAAATATGTTCATTGCTTGCTCCATATAATATCCACAGACCTCTCACCTTTTTCATATCGTTATAACACATGTAGTTTCTCGGCTAAGCTTATACACTTTCTATTAGCTTTTGACCCAACACAACCATCACTTGCTCTCTTGCTCAATAGGGATGCAAAAATACTGTAAGAAACTTGGGAAAGTTTTTCTCCCTGTTCCAGATGTGTGAAAACAAAAGGCCCACCAAGCTCCGACTGTTGTTTACCACTCATTAGCCAGGTAGCTTCTTTGCGCAAGGCGCTCTTCATTTATTTTTTTTAGTATTTTTTTTTTATAATACATATCGGGATTTAGTTATTATTTATATGAAAATGTAATTTAATTTTATTTTTATTATATTTTGATCGTAAATACGAATGAAATAAGGATGTAAATTGAATCGGGCCCTAAATAAACTAGGGTTTTAAATATGAAAAGTTGTTGGTTGAATCGTTGTTATCGGAGGCTTTACTGTACTTGATTCTTAAGAAGCACATCCACAGGATATTATTAAAATTCATTCTACCTGTATTTACAGCCCATCACAATGATCACTCCTCCACAGTGCAATAAAGAATCTCCTCCTGGACATTAAACTTTTACAGACACATACCAGTAAGACTCACCTTCCTGCAAGTTTGGGGTGTCATCATCCATGTCCAAGAGAATTTCCTCCATTATATCATTGTCAAGAATGGCATCTGTGGCCATCCATACCTTGTATACCTGAAACAAAAACATAGCATATGGAATACGATTAAACCCCCCCACGACACTGCAGCCTTGGGCATTTTAGTTGCTACATGCCACAAAACTAATTAGGAAACTTACTTTTAGACATTTGATGATGGTATGTTTGAATTAGTGCTGTCTGTGGCAGGCTGATGAGGCCAACACAGCCAGAGGATGTTATGGCTGTGATCACTTGATTACATGTCTATCTCAAATTTGAATTGGATATACAGTACTCTATCTAATAATATGATTTCAAGTTTATACTTGCAAATTATTTATATTCTCCCATTTAAAATTGTTAAAGGTTCCCCAAACTACATGTACGTACAGTACATGATATAAATTCATCACAACTGCTAATCACTGTTTATTGCCAAATAATTTGGCAACAAATGTATCCTGTCTAATGGTAGACCCTGCTGCCTTATGGCATCACAAAAATTGTGACCAAGTCCCAGGTTGCTGATCTGAATTTCTGCCTCATCTAAACACAATTGCAGGGTCTCAATTGTTTCTCTTACCACCGTATTGACAACATAACATACATACTGTCGTTTCTCACAATTGATTTATTTTTTCATTTTTGTATTCATTTATGTGTATTATTATTAAAAATTTTATTTATTTATTAATTATTTTTTCTTGTATTAATCATTATTATTATTATTATTATTATTATTATTATTATTATTATTATTATTATTATTATTATATTTTTGCCCTCCAGACCCTGATGTGGTCAGTGACCTGTGCCTGGGTGGGCTAATCCCCTTAAAAAAAAAAAATAATAATAATAATTGTGTTGTTGGGGGAGTTCTTGATTAACATTTAAAAACTCATGCACTGTTAAACAAATGTTAATCAAGAACTCCCCCAACAACACAATTGGCTGCATTTATAAGGTTCCTTGCAAGGAATGTAATATGTTTTACTTAGGCCAGACAGGTAAAGATCTTGTAACTAGAATTAAACAACACAAATACAGTGTTAGGACAGGCCAGGAATCCAATGCTCTGTTTGTTCATTTGAGGGATAACAAGCATTGCATTGACTGGGATAATGCCTCCTCAATATTACCATGTAATTCAATTGATAGTAGGAACATCATAGAATCTAGTCTCATTAAACATACCGAAGCATTCAACATGAATTTGAGTAATGGCATGTACAAACTGGACAATTTTGTAATTAAAAGATTTGTAACCAGGTGAGAAGGTTGGGTCACCTTACCCTCTGACCTGACTACCCGCTATTTAAAGATTAGTATGACCTGTTTGAGAACCCAGCATATATATATATATATATATGCTGATAACCACAAGGAAGAAGAAAACACGGTTCCCAAGCGCTTTTGTAATTCACATCTTCAGGGTGAGTACAGACTAGAGGAGAAATACAAACCAAGGTGTATATATACAGAGGAGGGTGAGACCAGGTCCACAATGGTCAGGTATTATAATGACCCTACTAATTTAAATAGCATATATATATATATATATATATATATATATATATATATATATATATATATATATATATATATATATATATATATATATATATATATATATATATATATATATAAGTTGTTCTCACTTATGATTTCAAAGAATCAATTGAATATTGTTCCTTGTGTGCAAAGTGAAATACTACAAATTAATTTAATGTTTGTAAATTAAGTTAGGTAATTTGCCATGTATGGTCATTATTAAGAAAACACTCATGGAGTTATCAGACTTTCTATCTTAGGTAATGTAATATTACAAAGTTTGAGTTAGTTTGTATTTACAGGCAACAGCCTCCTTCTGTTTACTTCAAAAGAGAATAATAAATATATGGTGAAAGTAGTATAGTGAATATTCAATGTAACACAACAATAATACAGTAGCTATTAATAAAAAAATACAAACTCACCTGAGCAACACAGCCAGACCCAATAGGCTTACAATCATTATCAAACTTAACGAAAACCTTTCTCCAGTGGGGACCAAAAGCTTTTTTCATTTGATAGAGAGTGTACTTCCACGAATGGGGTTCAATGCGTCTCTGGAGTCGAGAGAACTGGGAACAACATGAATCTGGGAAGATGTCTCGACGTGTTGATGCCCACTGGCCCAGCTTGATTAGGATTGGACCCGAAAATTCTACTGCTGAAAGATGAACATATAAACTTTATGGATCTGGTTAAGACAAGACCCAAAATTTCAGTACCTGCAATATAAACAAAATACATTAACCACACGTCATAAACAAAACACAAATAATAACACAAACTTCCAATATGTTTCTCTCCACATGTAAAATGTCTTAGGAAGGATTAATTAGTTTTAAGGAAAAGGAAATACTGTATTCATTCTGAACAATATTCTAATTACAAAGCAAGAAATGGCTAGTGGCACAACACTATTTGAACTCTTCTTCACTTAACTCCTGAGTGCAACCCTAAAGCAAGCAGACTTGACTTTTAAAAGTAACTCACAAGCAGGCATATATTACCAGATACTGTACAGATATTACAAAATTTTTGCAAGTTTTTATTTTTCGGTGATAACATTTCACAAACTACTCTCTGTACCTCAGTGCGGCATACTGAAAAGTGGTGTATCCAGGGAGGTTCGGTCAAACCCCCCTTTTCTCTTAAGAGTCAACTGGTATTATGGGAGACTAAATTAGTTCAAGTGTTAACTCGTGCCAAGACCAACTCGTACACATTCATGGCTAGTGGTATAACAGGCACATGGGCTTGTGAGTGAATGGTAAAATAAGGAGACAAAGTGTTTCCCAGTGCTTCTTAGTGTATTTGTGTAATTACAGTATTAGGCATTATTTTGGTGTGTAAAATATATACAGTATACTGGAATTTTTTTTTTTTTTGGTGATCACTAAAATCACCTCTATGGAGTCCCTAATACCTGTACAGTACATCAATTTAACTGGACCAAAAGAATCCTTTTGACCAGACTAATACCTAAAAAAAAAAATCAGAAATTTGATAAAACCTTTAGAAATGGTCTAAAGATTAATTATAATCATTACGATACTTCAAAGAATTAATACATAATAGAATCACAAAATATGCCTGACAAAGAATACTAGCTGGAACAGACATATTATACTGCCTAAAAAGAATTTAAGAGTCAAATGGTTCTCTTAACCCCATGAGTATACGTTATGTACACTTGACAAAGTCTACTTCCTCGGGAAAACAGGCCTGAGGCTCCCTATCATATTACTATACAGTATCTTATTTAATACTACATGAAGCCATTGCATTGTTCTCTTGTAATGTCAATCAGGAACTTCAATGAAAAACAGTCAAGTCTGGCACAGATTTGCTTACCGTAGATTAAAAAATAGCAGAGCTAAAGCCTCAACATGGTAAGTGCTGACTAGGCAGTATATTAACAGGTTTTAATGAGACCATCAGCCTTCAGGGCATCATTACACCAAGTTTTCCCTCAATTGAGGTGGGCGGTGTGATGGGAAGAGACGGTGATCACTGTATCTAAGTAGTGCTTTGTTTAAGAAGTCAAGAACCTCTTAGTAAGTTGTCCTATACAGTACAGTACTGTACAGTATTATGAGAGCCACTTAGCTTAATTGGAATAACCAGAAAATACAACCTTACCTATTAAGAGCAGATTCCACCATGCATCAGTAGCAGTCTTCCCCAAGTAGGTAACAGGATACAATGCCAAAATTGGACCAAATGTCAGAACAAGGCGAAGAGCTCGGAGACAAAGTTGCAAAAGTTCATACACACTAAGAAGAAGCTGAAACAGCCTTCCTCTTGTTTTCTTCTTTGGTTCCTTAGGCAGCTCAGCAATTATCATTTTCTCCTCCTTTTGATTTCTAAATAACTGTGATGGGCTGAGGAACATTGACCCCAAAATTATTTTATCCAGTCTTACTTTTCTGAACCCAACTTTAGACTTAGGAGTTCTCTGAAGAACATTATTGACCTTACTAATAAGTCTTGTTCTAGCATTTCGACATGAATCTATTATTTTGCAACATATAGTGAAACTGAACTCCCTGTGACTTACTAGGGACTGTACACTTCCTTTGCTCATGGGTGTACATGATGAGAGATTTGTCTGATGCATTAATTGATGATTATGATAGTTAAAAAACTTTAAAGGTGTTGGTATGATTTTACTTCCTGAGGGCTGGCTGAAGCTGCAGCCTTGTATGAAATTTCCATACAAAACAAACGAACTATTAGAGTTGCTACCGGTAGTTGGTACCTGGGGTATGTGTACCTTCCTTGCCCCTGCAAGGAGGGTATTCCTCAGTAGAGGATGGATGACCATACTTGGAGACATTAATCTGAAAGAAAAATAATACTGTCATGGTGCAGTGCTGTATAAAAACAGTACAGGTATTCCCTTATTTACAATGGTTTGGTTTCCAAAATTCAAAGCTACGATAAAAAAAAAAAGTTGTCCCAGGATTTGATTTACGAACCAAAAGTCATAAGATATGAAGCAATTTTCATTTTCAAAATTTGTTCTGAAGTATAATACAGTAGCTACCTTGCTGATCGGCTTGTTAGCCACTTAGGCAAACGGTTGTGTCTCTGTTATGCACTGTTGGTAAGTACTCTGGGCATGTACTGGTTCCAGGCCATATCTGTACCTGCACCAGTGTTGGTCAACTCTGGTCTTGAAGAAGCTCACACTCAGCACCATCACATCTCTCTGGCAGATTGTTCCAAGAGTTCACAACCCTCACTGAAAAAGTTTGCCCTGAAAATTTCTGGAACTTGTAGCTTCTTCAACCATAAGCTGTGACCTCTAATGGGGTGGGCATCTGGGGTAAGAATTCCACTGCTATTTTACTGTCTACACCCTGTACGGAATCCAATCCTTTACAAATTACTGCACTGTATTCAATTTTTAAACATATTTTTTGAGAATTTTTGGTGAAATTTTTTTAATGATTTTTTTTTTTTTTATTTTTTTTTTTTGAACATACAGTACAGTATTGTATTATAACTTTCATATCATATATTTCTTTTTAATTAAAATTTATCACACAACTAAACACAGTCACTCGGCCAGTTGCCTGACTGCCCAATTTCTCGTTTACTATCATGTAATACAGGTATGTGGGGAAATTAAATAAAAGTGCTCTTACAAAAAAGTAATTTATACAAGATTTTCAGGAACAACACTTTCGTAAATAAGGAAATGCCTGCAACTGTAAAAAAAAATGAGAATCAAATTATAAATGAGAATCTTAGTACAGTACAATATACTGTACAGGTATGTATAGAGTGAGGACAACTATAATTATACAGTAGAGTACGGAGATTTACCCTGACTGATTTACCCTTGTCTGATGATCCAACACAAGTAAATTTCTCGCAGGCACCTGAGATTACCAACTGTCTGGCAAACTCTTAGTCAACAAAACACTTCTTATTAACTACTATGATACCACAGTAATAATAATTGGCAAAACTGAGTGAAGGCAACAGACTCCACAGCAAATTCCTGTGCAGTACAAAGCAGAATTTGATGGCTTTGACGTGAAGTATTCAAGGCACTTTTTGTAACTTCTGAATGATTCTAAAACTGATTTAGTTAAGATATTTTTCAAATTGTATTTGTTTTCATTATTTTTCATACTTTACATCTCATGTAGTTTGAAATTATCAATTAATTTCATAATGGAAGACTATGAGGAATTGAATCATTTTTTTTTAAATTAGAGCTTGATATACTGTACTGTTTTGTATTATGCTGTATTTAGGATTCCAGTTTTCATGTAACCAAACATCTACACCACAGTTACAAGATAGCAAAAAATGAGAAGAACCACAAAAGTATTTCACTTGGTTGATATAATACAGTGCAGTACAGTATAATAAAATAAGCAATGCCAGTATTGCTTTTCTTTATAAGCATGCCTAATGCCTGTCAGCTTAGATTCAAAGAACACTAGCTTAGGTTAGGTAGGTTAAGTTCATTTTATGAACCAAAAAACTACCTAACCTAATATAACCTACCAAAAGTAACCTAACCTAAAACACTACAGTTATAGAGTATTTAAATATTCTAAAAACAATGGAAAGAACCAATACTAAGATATACTATGAATGGTGAACGGAAATAAAGTCAGAGGAAAAAAGTCACATGACTTGTACACATTGACAACACAATATATATATATATATATATATATATATATATATATATATATATATATATATATATATATATATATATATATATATATATATATATATGATGGCAGTGCACGTAGGTTAGGTTTTTTCCGTGCCTTTTTTTCTGACTTTTTTTCTTGACTCTTTTTCCTTGATTCACTATGAACATGGCAGGTAGATTTTAGAGTCCTCACTGCAGACAAAGGATGTAAAAGAGCTTTATAAGTAATATCTGACAACACGTATTGCTCGCGCACTTTTCATCAATTTCATGAGATTTTTTTTTGCATTTACATGTATGTTCTATGGTGAAATGTCTTGCATAAGAAAAATAAGGAGTGTAATAGGTCGGTTGGCCTGTGCATGGCAGCTCTTTACAGTAGGTAGTTAAGGCATACAATTCATCCAGACAATTACCATAATCAATTATAGATATCACAAGGGAAGTGTTCAAGCACTTGTTTGCCCATGTGACAGGTGAGCAGCATCACAAGTGTCATGTCACTTGGAATATTTCCATTGGGGTGATTGTCTGTTATGGATATTTTGTCATACTATACCACTTACCCTCTTAGGTTAGGTTACGTTTGGCTTGGTTGAGTAAATCGCGTAAAACAAGATTATCCGATTGTTTTGTAATCTTATACACAACTATTAATAATAATTGACAAATACTTAACCACAGTGTGACCATCACGTCGGACAGTGAGTGGCGAGGACACTTGAGTGTCAACTTCTACACCTGTAACACTTAGCGAGTTACGGATTGACGAATTAAACTTCACAGTACAACGATTAGATAACATGATAAGAATAATCCTGTAATAGTCGTGTAATAGATCCAGATTCATCCTATAGTAAAATCTGAACAAATTCTCATATAATTCGGTAATTATAAAGTGTGCTTTAAAAAGTAATGTTGTATTTCTAATTCTAAAAGCTAATTTAATTCGATATAATATTCTGTAGTCCAATTACTACTAAGATTAATAAAAATAAAAAGATAAAAAAAATCCCTACTTGGCCGAAATCCCCTTGACCAATGAAGTCGACCAATCAGAGGCCAGCTTTCTCATGGTGTAGGCAAGTCGACCAATCAGAGGCCAGCTTTCTCATGGTGTAGGCCGCCCACCACAACACATGACTGGTTAGTTGTTAGGAAATAATGGCAATTTATATACTGTATTTTTTTTTGACCTGCCCACTTCAGCTGTTTTAGAGACATTATATTAATTCATGAACGCTATAATATATCATACCCGGTAGTGTATCTATTTTTGTTGGCTTATTTGTCCCTTTACTATCATACTCTCATGAAGGCTGGTCACATGTCCATACCATTACAGTGAACCTCTTTACCTATTCCACACTACAGCCTCTGCCTTGTTAGACACTTCATATGCCTTACTATTTAAAGCCCTTTCCATTCTAGCAGTTTGTTTCTCTGTTGCAAATTTTAGAACATTTCCATTCCAAGTTAGTTTTACTGTCATGTATCATAATGGTGGAAGTAATGACAGAAAAGGAATTATATACACCAGGAAGTTCCATAAGGGGGACCCCGACTAACGCCCTCCGATATGAACGAGGTTAAATTTGTAATTTATTGTATTTTATTTACCTAATGACTTACTTTTAACGGTAATTATTCAAGACTGACCCGTGGCCAAAATTGATAGAAAATGATTTTAAAAACTCTGGAGTTTCAATGTCTTTTATGGTGAACACTGTTTTATTTTGTGCAAATGTGTTAAAAAGTGATTATTTCTAAAATAAACGTAACTTAACCTTTGTGGGCATGAAAAACAGACCTAACCAACCTTGCCAAACAAATCTAACCTAACCTAACTTCCTTACAGCCCCGCGGACTCCTCGGTGCATAAAACAGAAAGAACTTACTTTGATATGGTGTAATTTTAGGCTTTTTCTGGACATGAATTCATATGGGCGCTTGTGCTGCCTGGGCGGCGGAGTGAAGTGTTGAGGTGGCGGGAAAGGGCGAGCCGCAGCGTTAAGGAAGTGATGAAAAAATTTATTTCCAGTCTGAAAGCACAGGGATTCCCGCAGTGTGGACAGTCTCTATTTAAAGAAACAATGCCGTGGTCTTTGAACAATTGAAGGGTCTTGTCTTTATCCCTAAATTCGCAAATAACGTCCATATAAAACCGGCGACAACCTTCACATGTCATGCTGAAAATGAAACTGCCTCAGGTGCTGGGAAAAGCGCTTCAGCAGAGCGCGGCCTCAATACCGCCGGAAGACAAATTAGTACACGCCTAGGCGCCTTATTATCTACAAAATGAAACATTTTCACAAGAAATGATTTCCATATCAGAACTCACTGATGAAAATAAAGGAAGAAAGTAAACAGTAATACAAATAACTCGTCCGTGGGTTAGTCCTACACTGTATATTAACCCTTTTTACTTTCATTTACTTTATTTTGTCATTCTATTTCTTCTTTTGTCTTAAATTAAATGATTTTAGATGTATATAAGAACTTAGGCTATGATGTAGTGGGATTTTAAACCTTGTTCTGTAAGTACGGAATGCACATAGCATGTGTTCTGACTTACGTACAAATCCAACTTAAGAACGTCCTCAGGAACGGAACCCGTTCATAACCCGGGGACCCCTGATTATTTTTAAATTACTGAAAGAAAGATACCCCTAATAAGAAATTTTGGGAAAAAATTTAATATTTAGGTGGTGCCCACAAAATAAGACAGTACCCAACATTGTATTGTGAAGATAAAACACCCTTTACAACTTGCAGTGCAGTACTGTAGCTACATGGTGTATATCTTACGGTTTTTTTGCGGAATATGTTATTTTGAAAAATGACCGGCATGCATATTGGTAATTTTGCAAAATAATTTACAAACAGGCAACCTAAAGTAACCTAACCTTATGGTTGAATAAGGTTAGGTTAGGTTAGGATGGCTTGTGTAGCTTGATACACAGTTGAGTGGTTCTGTTGTTGTTGTTTTTTTTTTTTTTTTTTACTTTGTACTATGTGCACCTGATGTTATAGGTCTTGGTGTACAGCACTATTCTCGATATTTATAAATGCAATTATTTCAATCATTTCAGTTTAGAATAATGTACATTATATATAATGTAATTTGATAAATTTTTCTCATAATTTGATAAATATGTTTTTTTCCAGATATCTGTGCATTTAAAGATGTATTCTCTAAATTTACGGGTGGGAAAGTGTCATCCTCTATGGCAGTCAGCAGTTTGCAGTCCACACTGGCTTAGACTGATTTCATCTACACCTGTGAAGGCTGATTCAAAAAATAAAGATGATAGTGACACTTTTGGTTCTTTAGCTTCACTATCCAGCTGCAGTGAAAAAAAGTTAAGTGTAAAGGATACTGACAAGAATTATGTTAAAAGTTTACCAAAAATTCAGTATAATAAGAAATTTTTTGAAATTCAAGAAAAGAATAGAGATACCCAGAAAGTGGATAGTTTAAAAAATTACCACCTGGAAAATACTCATGAAAAATGGAATGCCTTTAAAGATGCTCACTATGAGGAAATTCTTAAGCAGTCTACAGATATTTTACAAGATGACAGTGAGGATGACTATTATTATTTTCTAAAGAGACTTACATCCAAGAAAGCTGCAAAAAATGTCATAGAAAAAAATTGGACACCTGAAGAAGAAAGACAGAAGCAAAATACTCCGTTAGTTGCAGAAAATGAAGCTATAGGTGGATTAAAATCAAGTAACGTAGATGAATTTGGTACAGTATCTCCGCCAAAGATTGATTATGAAAAGGAGGTCGGTGATGAAGGTGATGAGAGAGAAGAGAAGTACCAGGAGTCGAAGCTTAAAAGGAGTCACAGACCACAATATTATGGGCAGCAGATGAAGAATTTGTGTAAGGAAAGAAAGGTTTGTACTGTGAGTTTATAGTTTTTATTACATTAAAAACTCATTTTAACTGACTAATAAGAGGAAAAGGGGTGTCCATTGATGCTGAAAGTACATTAAATTTAAGGGATGTTTTTGACAACATATAACAAGCAATCAAATATTCACGGGCAATCCCAGTAGTAGGGTAGTTGAGTTTAATTGGATAGATGGCTCAGGCATAGGGTGGCATCTTCACTTGTAAGAGGAGCTGGAAGTGTATAAGATGTGGTCTTATATAAAATCATGACACAGCAGTGTAAAGAAGTTATTAGTGGTCATCTTTTTTAAGAAGATTGGACAGAGTTTAAAAGGCAGGTCACTTATATTCCTTCACTCCTCATGTTGATGTAGTTAACTTGGGATGTCGAACTCCACTTTGTGTCCTCCCTAACCATAAAATGAGAATTTACCTACTCACTCAAATCTATTTCAGCTTTCAGAAGCATTAAAGATTTTTGAGGAGATGCCATCAGTTGGGGCCAAGCCTAATGACTTCTGTTACCAAGTTCTCATCAATGCATGTGGCCGAGCAGGCTACACTAAAAAGGCTTTTCAGCTGTACAATCAGGTATTGCTTTAAGATTATACAGTATTATACATTATTGCATAATCATTGTCATATCTTTACATATATTTATTAATTTACTTCAAATACATTACTGTAATTTGTTGGATTGTAATTTGATACTAAATACTGTACAGTGCATTCTGTATACTGTACTTAAAAAATGTATATAAATACAATGTAAATACAGTACAATACATCCAAAACACATTCCATATCAGTGTTTAATATTTTTATACAGTACTGTATTTGTACAGTGAGAAGGGAGCATTGTACTGTACATTAATCATAATAAACATAACAGTACTGTACAGTTTGGAAGCTACACAAAAGTAAATAAATTATTACATATGCCAATTTTTGCAGTGTTCTGTATTTGAAAATATGTACAGTATACAGTATAATTAAAAAATCCACCATTTTAATATACAGTCTGTATTTAGATACACATTTAAATACCCTGTTAAAAATATGCAGTAGGGATCCTCTTACCACGATTTGCAAGTGTGGAAAATGGCCAAAAAATGTTGATGATGATATACAGTACAACACTATTTGTATGTACAGTACTGTACTGTACTCTACCTGAAAAATTTAAGAAAACTATTTTTCCTCTCATAGAGATAATATAATCAGTATTGTTGCTAAAGGGAAAGTGAGGTTATACTGTGTATTGCTTTCTTGTTCCCTGTACTGTACTACTTCAACTACCCTCTCACTCTACCTCTCAGGAATATCTGAACATGAGGTAAAGTATGAACATGCGTAAGATGATCACCGCTTTTCATGTTGTGTTGTTTTTCCTCTCATATTGTAAAGGAGGATAGAACTAGTACACTCCCTTTTTTATTGTTTATTTTGTTTTCATTTTCCAGATGAAGAAGCGTGGACTAAAGGTTCAACCAGTAGCTTACACTGGACTATTCAATGCCTGTGCCAACTCCCCGTGGCCATTGACAGATGGACTGAAGCGGGCTACTGGACTTCGGGAACAGCTGCTAGAACAGGGATATATCTTCAACCAAACGATCAGCCATTCTATGATTAAAGGTTCATTCTCTATGTGTTATGATGGTGGGCTGGTCCTTTACTCGTGAGGTGTGAGTGACCTTTTGCTTTATACAGGATTAACAGAATCTAAGACTTTCTCTGTTAATTTCACCAGTTCCTTCCCTTGGGACAATGGCTCTGTCTTAGGATTAAAATTAAGTAATAGATTTAGCGTGACCCTACCCATCACTTTTTGGGGGTACCTGTAATTCAGAAATTAGCCACATCTGTTGAAATAGCAACACTAAGAGCCCCTGTTAGATGAACAAGATTTGGTTAATTTTGATTCAATTTTGCCCATAACCTATTGAGATTCCTAAAGCATTACACCAGAAAGTAGTAACAATGATAGTCTTTTGTTTATTTCTCATTTCTGCAATCTTAATTATTGGGTTTTGTCAAATAAATTTCTTACTTACCAAATATTTAATGTACAGTACTGTAGATTAATAATTTTTTCTCTTCCATGAGTCTTCATTTAGGCAATATGAATATACTTGGAAACTCTTCTAAGATTACTGTATTTCATCTTAGGAAAGGCAAAGCTTCCTCCAATCTGTATCATAAGTGGTGAATTTCTTAACTTAATTTGGAATTTTAAGGAAAAATAGTTTATCTGCAAAGATTTAAGCTTCTTGTAAATGTATCTTAGCTGCCTGTAGACCATTGGAAAAAAGCTTTTGATAGTTGACCTCTCAATGAAAGTGATGCTGTAAAGGATCTTTTACTGAATTTTTCTGAAGACCATAAGACTTTTAACTTGTGATCTTCTCTTCTGTCGTTACATTAATAACATTCTCTTAGTACATAACAGAAGATGGCCAAAGTCAGTGTTCATTAGAAAAAATGCAGAGATTTTGATTTTATATACAGTAATTTAATTAATTGAAAGCAGAAGTATATTGTGAAGAAAGTTAGTTTTAAGATTCAATTTTTCAGCATTTGGCAGATGTGGAAATATCAACACAGCTTTTCAAATTGTTGATGACATGATCGAACAAGGGTTATTGGTTACCACTGAAACTATAAATTTTCTGCTACAAGCGTGTATCACCAACAAGGAAATTGGTTTTAGACATGCAATAAGGGTAAGATATTGAACCTCATAGCTGTTTTAATAGCTGATGTATATCTATTGACAAAATATGAGCTGATTTTTCTTCCCTTTAGGCTCCATTAAGTGTCACTCGAGTAAATTTTCCAGCTACGCATATTATTAGTGACTGTGACATCATATTAAATTAAAAAAATTAAGCATGGTAACTTTAGAGTATGCACATAACAATATTTATTTTTTACTGTGATGTAAAAATATTAGAGGGAACCTTGGTGCTGATGATTTGAAACTTTCAACTTACATTAATTATTGTACTGAATAATTCACAAATTTTGAGAACTTGTAACAAGAAATTTGGCTGTAATAGTTGATTTGGTTTAAAGGAGCAAAGTTATTCATTGATATACAGTATCACATTATTTTTGGATAATTGCAACTTTGTTTTGTCAACAGGTTTGGAGGAAATTACGAGAGTTGAAGCTGTCTCCTGACATATATTCTTATAATCTCTTAATACGGGCCATCAGTGCTTGTAGTGCTGGCGACCCACAGTTAACTTCCAAGTTACTGGAAGGAAATTTTTGTACTTCAAACAAAGGAACAAAAGAAAAGAGAGAGAGAAAAACAATCACAGAAAAAGTCATAGTTGTAGAAAATAAAAAAGAGCCTCTTTCCTCTGAACCAAGAAATATCCCTGAAGAGCAAAATTATGGTATGATTCAAGTAAAAAGAGAGGTCCAAGGTGATGGAGTGCAGAATCATGTGTTACCTGACTTATTGGGGAAAAGAATAACAAGTGGAACAATTATAGGCTTGGGACCACTGGATCAGCCACAGGACAGGTAAGTTTTACAACAATGACATGACAGAGACATATATGTAGCACAATCCCAAACACACACATTCTTTACATTTTACAGGGAGCTTCTAGATATGGCAACACTGAAGTAGCTTGTGTGTGCCAAAGCCATCTATGGTGTGGTAAAGAGCAGCTGACGACTTTGCCACCATTCAAATTATTACATTGCCCTGTCTGTTAATCACGGAAGCTCCTGAAGGTGTACAAAGTCACAAACAAAAGTCCTGTTGCCTCATCTGCTGCTCCACAAACCCCGAGATTCAGGACTTGTGAACCTGGAGCAATAGACACTGATGCACTAATCTGTCCTTAAATGCTTCGGATTCACAAGTCTGAATCTCAGGGTTTGTGTAACAGCAGAAGTAGGCAACAGGACTTTTTGTTCACGACTGTACAAACTAAACCAGAGTGAACGTGTGTGGTGATTTTTACTGTATAGGTATCTTATTTGCCATGGTTGAATTAAATGGGGAAAGCACTTGTTCCAGAATGAAATATTTCATCTTACTGCAAATACTGTATTATATTCATCTAAAAGACTATTATTTTGAGAGAAGGAGGCCACCATTGACTTCCACTCTCTCTCTGACCACTCCCAACCTTAAGCAGTTACTGTATGCCATTCAGTAAGGTGGTGATGATGCTGATTTTGTCATTCTTCTGACATGAATCAGTGAAATATTTTTTGTCTTGACAGAACAGGTACTCAAGGGAACTCCAGCTTCAACACACAAAGAAAAATAATTTGTTTTACCTGTGTGATCAATTGTAAACCTTGAAATAATAACTGATGCATTGTTAATATTGTGCAATTTGTTTTCACTCCTCTTCACTGTTCCTTTTCCTCACCATCACTTACACTGTCATTGTCACACCATCATGAGGGTTGGGTGTCTGTTTTCTCTATTTATTTATCTACATAAATGTATAAAAATTTAAAAGCATTCTTATTCTGTCTTGACAAATTCTCTCAGGATATAATTTTCTGTTAAAATTAAAAAAAAACAAGTTGGTGATATTCTTCAGGATGAGAAATGAGGGTCATATAGTAACTAACTTGAAAATTAGAAAAAAAATAGTTGGCTAACAAATAATTAGCTGTTGCTTCTTAAGGAAAATCTCATAGTGGTAGGTTAAGGAAATGTTCTTCATAGGTTCTTGAAATAACAGGGAATAGTAATTTTCTACTATGTTATTGGTAGCCATGGAACTCTTAATAAAGCTCTATCATTTTTAAATATTTTCAGATTAGCTCTTCTAGGTGGTCCCAGTGGTATACTTAAGCAGATGTCACAGGATCGAGTAAAACCAGATTTGAAGACAGTCACCCAGCTGCTGGGCTCCTTACCCTCTAGCATTCAGGCAGAAGAGGTAACTTTGGATTGAAAACAACAACTTCAGGTAGGCAGGGAGTAGCGACCCTGCCTTACCAGCTGAGAGGGCGCTTTGAAACTCCTTCATATAAAAGTCGGTTCCCATTCCGTAAAAGTGGGTTGGTGATTGGTAGGGCATCCAGCCATAAAACTTACTTCAAATTTGCATGATGGCAACTTGGACTCCGTGCCATCAGGTAATCACGGCCAACCCACACAAGCATGGAAAATGGCTGTTAAAGTTCCACACATATTAGTAAAATGAATCATGAAATTTAAGCACTTGGGCATTTTTGAAACTACCTGTACGTGGTGGTAGGAATGAGTTAGTGGTTCTAAGGCTGAATGAGACAAAATTATTCTGCCTAGGGGTAAAATTAATCATTTATTGTTATGAGCATTTTTAAGTGCTTAGGACAGTAAATTATTCATGTAGTCAGATACTACTTTTTATTATTACAACTTTGGTATTCTCTGAACTTGATACTTTTTTACTCTAAAGTAAGTATACTGTACAATTTAGGACTAGTACAGTACTTTTATTTTATTCAAATGCATTTTTTTAATTAAATTTATCAATTTTTTCAAGGCACTTCTCCAGTCAATGAAGAATATTGGCCTCAATCCAGACACACAGTTTTGCAACTTGCTAATACGCAAACGAAATTTTCGGCAAGATATGGAGGGTGCCAAGGTACGTCAGTATTGTATCTTATAAAAATAACAAGACACCAGTAACTTAATTCAGATTGAACTGTATAGTTTACAAAGTAGTATATCTCCCCACAAAAAGTTTCCCCCTTAGAAAAAAAATCAATCCTTCCCCTAAAAAAAAAAGCAAATTTTTTATGACCTTAGAAATTTTCAAAAGATCCAGAAGGTCATAGCTACCTAGTGCTTGACCCTTCCTCTGGTATGATTAATGTTGTATGAATCTTATTACATCTGAAACACAAGACTGTTCTTACCAAACTTATCCACAAGTCATTGCAGATGTGTCTAAGTCTTCATTGGTGAGTCTCAATTCCTGAATCTTTTTTGACAAGTTGCAAGTCATGTCTCGAGTTAATAACGACATACAATTTTTATTTGTTCACATGGTGCTTTATGTGTAAAAATAAATAAATATATATATATTTATATTTAGTTAGTTGGTAACTAACTAACTATATTGTACAGTTTTAATATTTTAGACCAATAAGGGTGAATCAGGTTGATTACAATAATTATTTTCATTTCAGGATGTTCTTCAACTTATGCAGGAACATCACTTACTTCCTGATATTGCTACTTTTGGATGTTTGGCTCTGGGTTGTCGTTACCTTGACAATGCACTGGACCTACTGCGTGATATGGATGCTGCAAACTTCAGGTATGATTTTATAATGTCAATGACTTGAGTGTGGGACAGTTGTTATCTACCAGTCTTAATCTGTTTCTGTCATTCATGTATTTGACTGTACAGTATTTTATAATTACTTATAGAGCTGTGAGCATGTGATTACAACTGAAACATCCACAGGTAGCCATGGCTGAAAATCCTTCCTATTATTATTAGTTCCAAGACCTCAAACAGCCCCCAATATATCAGCTAGGGTTCTTCTGTCCTATCACTCTTAATGGCTCCAGTTGTGGGAGATCAATTACAATGGCTATCCTCTGGATTTCTTATTCAATTTACAGCCTTGTGGATTAAGGTAGAAGATAGGATTTCAGGGCCAATCCTCTTTTTTTCAGTGAATTGAGCAGATTACATGCAGCCTGACCTCAAATATATGTAGATGGAGAAATTTTAGGACTTCAGCTGCAAAAGATGAGGAAAACTGGATCTAATATGCTGTGTGATGAATTAAATGATATTTGATCCCTTATCAATATTTTGTGTAACCTTTGTCCATTTCTTCCTCAGACCAAATTTGGAGATATTGACAATTTTGGTGAAGAACAGTTTGGTGAGGCAGGAGTATTTCTACACTTTAGAGATATTGAAAGAAATGCACCAAAGAAATATCACTCCAGATGAGCTTCTTCTTCAATATCTTGAACAAGGCAGGACAAAAGCACGAAATACTCTCTTGAAAATGGTAAGTAAACTTAAAATTTTTAGTGTTTAAATTACACATGCAGTGAGAGATTATACCAGTAAGTGGGTCGCATGGGCCTGATGGTCTATTAGAGGAGACTAAGCCTTTACTACACAAGGAGGCAGCTTGGCTTGCTCTGGTTTCTGCCACCTTTATGCTCTCTAGCTGTAAAGTTGGATCCCTACTCTGCAACTGGGTTGACTGGGGTGTGTCCCACTCATTGGTTGGCCATGGGACTTAAATTGGCAATCATTAGGTCAAGATGTGGGATGTCAATGGACAACATTACCTGTACAGTATTACAGTATTTATTGTCCAACATTTTGAAAGTAAAAAATCATTATATATTTTACCAGCTGCTGTGAAATAGGAACCATATAGGTATCAGTCACAGGAAAAGGCAAAAGTTGGGATAAATATTTATCTCTCCAAACTACTGTATTGTACTGCGATAGGAGATCCAGCTAGAAGATGGAGTTGAAGTTCAGATGGTAATAAACTGGTAGATTACATAATTGTAATGGATTAAATTGTGCTTCTTACATTTTTAATCGGGGGGATTAGGATGTGAAATAATCTCTCCTTTTTCAGCCCTTATTCACTGGGCGAGGAGTTGTAAACTGCATTTTTTCTGATCCAATTGGACAGGCAACCTGGTAGTGGAACATGTTTAGACTTAAGGCTGGAGTGGGATGTTCATGAGGCATTTCAGTGGCTTTAAGGTAACTAAGGAACTTATAAGATATATTTACACCAGTAAGAATTTGTAATATGCCTGTAAAGAGTCTCTCAAATATGATTTATGTTACAGGAAGGGGAAAATGCTGATATGAAAATCAAAAGAAGAAAGCTGGAAGGTATGAAGATCTTTTTGTTAGAATACAAAAAATGGCTTAAAACGTCACAGGTGAAACTTTCAGATCACCCTTGGGCACAGTACAGGACTGAGCTAAGTGATAACGTTAGAACCATTGGTGTGTCTGGTACCTAATTTACATATTTTTTTAGAAAATGCCGCAAAATCTCTTCTAGTTCCACACAACTTCACATATGGAAATTCAAAACAAATTCCCATATTGTTGATGGTATTTGTTTATTTTTAATAAACCATTTAAAGCATAATATTCATCTTTGTTTTAATTAATATAAATTAGTGCCACAGGCATAAATGGAACCTTGCTATATTGGACTAATTGGGAGAAAGGCCACTCTGATAAATTCAATACCATATCGTTTTAATGGACACATCGGATGTCCAGGTAATCCGAAATACAGTATTAAACGAGTCCATTTTTAACACCAATATGTATGTATCACAAACACCCCTCGCTCATAGCAGGGCCAAAGATAAGTGTTTGACAATTAATGGCTCCCCCCTCCCTTAGAGATGGCAGTCCGATACTGGTCTTAAATGGGTATGCATAGTATATATATATATACTGTATACAGTACAGTATATATATATATATATATATATATATATATATATATATATATATATATATATATATATATATATATATATATATATATATATATATATATATATATATATATATATATATATATATATATATATATTCGGCCTTCGTCAAAATTGTGTCAACGGATGGGTGGTTCTTATATTAATTTGGAATAATAATAATACACGTTATTTTATGCTATATATATATTATATCGATAATATAAGTATTGAGTAATAATTGTAAAATGTCTACGTTTTAAAATTTCAGTGGGTAGTAAAGTCCTTGAAGGTTGTCTTCACTTTATAAAGAGAACAATCCGTAAAGAAGTACTTACAGCCGAGGCTCCTCCTCGTGTAACTCGTGGATTCTATAATGTTGTAGTGGACTTCTCCCCTACAACTGCCTACAACTGCGTAGCAGCTCACCACCTGCTATCGCATTCCAATGTGCCGCCTTCCCTAGCAACCAACCAGATGTTACCGTATCTTAGCAACGAAACTATTCACCGGCTACTTCTCGGGTTTTCCCACCATGACTCATGGCGGCTGCTGCGGGGTATATAAGCTCTGTCTCTCCCTTGAGATTCAGTCTGACCAATCTTCTTGAACAAGCAACACCTCCTCCTCCGCCGCTGCCTGGCGACCCTCGCCTCTCCTCCGCCTGCCTGGCGGTCCTCGCTCCCGCCAGCGAGCATGTCCTTCTCTGAGCTTCCTCACCAACCAACTCTGATTCTGCCCATTTTCCTGAACAAGTAACATCTCCTCCAGCAAGCTCCTAGCTGTTAACATTTCATTCAACCAGGAGGCCAGCAACAGACAACATTATTACATCGATACCCCTACAAATGGTGACTCCCGGAGATTAGCACTCACACAGGATGGAGGAGACACTGATCACGCTCCCAGTCTTCAAGCAGACACCGGCTCCTCTTCCTGCCTCACGCACCACATTCTGACGACCCCAGCACACCCGTCCTGCCTCAGACGCCGACCCAGCAGTACCTGCCGTGAGGGAAGCACACAACATCCATCGCCTCCACACCCCCTCTTTTCTCCCTCAGGTACTCCCTGCTAATGTCCTGCACCCTGCTGCTGTCGTGGACCCAGCTGCTGTCACGAGCCCTAACCCGCTTCTGCTGACCCAGCCCCTGCTCCTGATCCAGGCCCACACACACCCCAGCAGGCGCATCTGACGACCCTGTACCTGTCGTGAGGGAAGCACAACATCCATCGCCTCCACACACCCTTTTTCTCCCTTCTCCCACAGATAGTGTGTATCTAGACAGTTGTATTTCAGCGATCGGCTCATCACGCCATCGCCGTTGTCTCACATGAGGCATGCACCGCCCGGTCTTCCTCACATGTGCTAAGCAACTCTACAATCAACAAGTCTCCTACACCGCCTGGAGGGGAGGGGGAGTATTGTAGTGGACTTCTCCCCTACAACTGCCTACAACTGCGTAGCAGCTCACCACCTGCTATCGCATTCCAATGTGCCGCCTTCCCTAGCAACCAACCAGATGTTACCGTATCTTAGCAACGAAACTATTCACCGGCTACTTCTCGGGTTTTCCCACCATGACTCATGGCGGCTGCTGCGAGGTATATAAGCTCTGTCTCTCCCTTGAGATTCAGTCTGACCAATCTTCTTGAACAAGCAACACCTCCTCCTCCGCCGCTGCCTGGCGACCCTCGCCTCTCCTCCGCCTGCCTGGCAGTCCTCGCTCCCGCCAGCGAGCATGTCCTTCTCTGAGCTTCCTCACCAACCAACTCTGATTCTGCCCATTTTCCTGAACAAGCAACATCTCCTCCAGCAAGCTCCTAGCTGTTAACATTTCATTCAACCAGGAGGCCAGCAACAGACAACATTATTACATCGATACCCCTACAATGTTCCTACTGTCAATTGAATTACAAGGTAATATTGAGGAGGCATTATCCCAGTCAATGCAATGCTTATCATCCCTCAAATGAACAAACAGAACATTGGATTCCAAGCCTGTCCTAACAGGTTGAGTATGGAAACCATAAATATTGATATTACCAGTATTAAAGTTTGTTATATGCATTGTGAGTAAACCATCAATGTTTATTCCTAGCGGAGAACTGGTACATGTAAATTGTGAGTATCACTGCTGTTTCCCCTCTAACACTTGCTTCTCAGAAAATCAATACTGTAACTCATGTGCCTAAGCTTGTATCTACCACGCTCCCTAACATTTTTAATGATATCAGTTATATTCTAATAAAAGCCTGGGTGGGGGCAGTCTACCCTTGTCAGTAACATAACTATACCAATAGGTGTTGTTAAAGAATGATATGGTTTTCCCAGGTTAATCCATTGTATAGAATATAAAGGCATTTTAAGATGCATGGAATAGCTAACGCGTTAGCTTCCCGGACTGTCATTAAAAATTATGACATTGTACTGTCTTGGAAATAACTGTTGTCCAACACAGTCTTCAGAGAACAATAAAATTAGGAGAACTGTTATTTGGAAACAATACGGAAAGAAATAGTGAAGAAAATATATAGAAAATTATGGAAAGAAAGACAAAAAGGAAAAAAAGTCGATCAGTCAATAATAAATAAGAATAAGACAAAAAATTGGGCCCGTTGTAAAGGTAATTTCTCCCAGACTAGGAAACCATATGTAACATCCAGCAGAACAGCTATACGCTTCTTCTCACGCGACTAGGCGTTCACATATTTACACACGCAATACGATGAATTTCAGAACTGTAATCAACTTCTTCACCCTTATTAAAAGTATTGTAGTGGAATTCTCCCCTACAAACGCTGTTTGTCGCTGCCTAGCCGACCCCACCAATTCCCCAGTGTATGCCTCGTGGTCTAGGTCAACCAGCGCCGCCATACACCACGGAGCGGGGGTCAACTGCTAAGCCACGCCTACCCCCGCTATTTAAGACCTGACCTCGTGGTGATCTGTCTCTCTTTCTACCTACACCAACCAGCCAGCAACACCTCCTCCTGCCTGGCGGTCCTCGCTCCTCCTCCGCCTGCCTGGCGGTCCTCTCTCCCGCTGGCGAGCATGGCGACCCACAAGCTGTCCTTCTCTGAGCGTCCTCACCAACCAGCTCTCTCTACATCACGCTTGTAACCATGCTGCCTTCCCAGCACCAAGCTGCATTGTACATCCAATACAACATGTATATAGAGAGCACATTGTGAGTTTCCTTTCTCCATCCCATCCTGAGTGTGAACCAAACAATCTCATACCCCACAAATGGTGACCCCCGGAGATTCGCACTCACACAGGATGGAGGAGAAACTGATCACGCTCCCAGTCTTCAAGCAACATGGAAGACTGGCTTATCCACCCAGAAGCAGCTCTCATCGGCTCTACAGCTACTGTCTCTACACCGCAGGTTAGACACCCTAGAGCAGCTCTGCTACTCTAAGCAGACACCAGCTCCTCTTCCTGCCCTAAGCACCACGTCCTACCGACCCCAGCACACCCGTCCTGCCTCAGACGCCGACCCCGGCCCAGCAGTAACCCCTGCCGCCCCTGATGCGGCCTCTGTTCCTGAGTGCGGACCCACACACCCCTCTTTTCTCCCTCAGGTACTCCCTGCTAATGTCCTGCACCCTGCTGCTGTCGTGGACCCAGCTGCTGTCACGAGCCCTCATCCGCTTCTGCTGACGCAGCCCCTGCTCCTGACCCAGGCCCACACACCCCAGCAGGCGCATCTGGCGACTCTGTACCTGCCGTGAGGGAAGCACAAAATTCATCGCCTCCACACACCCTTATTCTCCCTCTCTACTCCCACAGATATTGTGTATCTAGACAGTTGTCCCCAGCGACCGGCTCATCCACGCCATCGCCGTTGTCTCACATGAGGCACGCACCGCCCGTTCTGCCTCACATGTGCTATGCAACCCTGCAGACAACAAGTCTCCTACACAGCCTGGAGGGAAGGGGGAGTATTGTAGTGGAATTCTCCCCTACAAACGCTGTTTGTCGCTGCCTAGCCGACCCCACCAATTCCCCAGTGTATGCCTCGTGGTCTAGGTCAACCAGCGCCGCCATACACCACGGAGCGGGGGTCAACTGCTAAGCCACGCCTACCCCCGCTATTTAAGACCTGACCTCGTGGTGATCTGTCTCTCTTTCTACCTACACCAACCAGCCAGCAACACCTCCGCCTGCCTGGCGGCCCTCGCTCCTCCGCCTGCCTGGCGGTCCTCTCTCCCGCTGGCGAGCATGGCGACCCACAAGCTGTCCTTCTCTGAGCGTCCTCACCAACCAGCTCTCTCTACATCACGCTTGTAACCATGCTGCCTTCCCAGCACCAAGCTGCATTGTACATCCAATACAACATGTATATAGAGAGCACATTGTGAGTTTCCTTTCTCCATCCCATCCTGAGTGTGAACCAAACAACCCATACCCCACAGTATCTTATGAGTAATGATATTAAAGTTTTAATCATAATTGAGTAATTATCAATATTGTTACACCAAAGTCACCAATGGCTAATGAAATCGGAACCCAAACTGGTTTCAACCATAGGCGCAATCCTTTTCAATTATTTCACGCCATACGCTTTGTTTTAGGTCCTATCCAATATACTACCATGTATAGAATTATTTTTATATTGTATCACAGTTTTTTATTGCCTTACATGCCCCCAACTCTTCAATAATAATCAAAATATTCTCCATAAGCGGCCATGATCCGTGTATTTTCAGTGGGAGAAACTTGTTGATTGATTAGCTATTCGGGCGCCTCCGCCCGCTGCAAAAGCTAACACCTGATCGAGGTGTTAGCTTTTCCCTCTGAAAGTGTCATGCGCAGAAGTCAGCAGCAGCATTTGCGCAGACAGAATAGCGAACACATTAGCTATTATTCCGTGCATCTGAAACGCCTTACAATAACCTCCTTAACTAAGCTCTGATAAATATTGAAAGCAGTAAGAGGATAGATAAGAAATAGTAATGACTTTGAAACAAATATTTAAGATATAGAAAAGAAAGATAAAGAATATTATAATAAATAAATAAAAACATTAAAAAAAATAACAATGAGTGAGAAAAGTAAAACTTTGTAAGAAATTAATAAGCATATAGAAATAAAGACTTGGAAAAATATATTAACTTAGAAAACAAACAAAAATTATAAAAGAAATAAAAGAAAATAATAACAAAACCTTTCTTTCCCCCTCACCCCCCCCCCCCTTTCACTTGGTCCACCTGACAAGATTTTAATTAATGGACGAGACAGCAATGTTTTAATGTTAGTCTGTCGTGGTCTAGTGGTGATACCCAGGTCTCAAGAGGTGAATATTGTTTACCTGCGCTGGAGTTCCATTAAATTTCACTAATGATCAACAAAAGCCGATGGTAAAAAAGTGTTCAATCATTTACAACTTAAGGTGAATAGACACAATTATCCAGTCAGACGCACAACGATAAAATGGCTCGCTCAGTGTATGAAGTCTGATCTAATGGAGTTTTAAGTATCGCGCCAGGAAGTAACTCGATAAAGTTGCCGAATCTGGAATTCATTCAACTGAATTTTACTCGCTGCTAATTTATCGGATAGTTTAAGCCTCTATAGCACTTTGTATATCCATAAAATTTGTACCGTCGAAATTTCTCCCGTTTTTTTTTTCATCAGTGAGGACTGACACATGTTATTTAATACCAGACGTTAAACTGTTCCTAAACGTCAATATTATTACCAGCGATGCCAGATGTAGTATCTTCATTCTATAACTTTATTATGTTTTACCCAAAAATAATATTTTCTTTTTTAATTATCAACGTATGTCCACCAAGATTAGTTCAATTGCCAAAAACACCATCTTTAAAGATGAAAGAAAATATGAAAATATGGTAAGAAATGATGGCGTTGGTAACTGTGTAGGAGTGATGGCGCACACTCGGCACCTCACTGCAGCAGCCGACGACGTCACGTAAACAAACCCACTACCAGGCAGACTGCCTCTTCCTCGCATGGATTAAAGGTATTAAATATCGTAATATGTGTGTAACAAAACTATTCAGTGAAGTGACAATGAAAAAAATGAATTGGGGATTGGAATCGTAACTTGAGGTACTCAACTGTAAAAAAAACACCAAGGGAAACAAAACAAAATTTTCAGTTAAAGGTTAAGATCTTAACTGATATATCACCTGACATCATATAACATTATGTGTGCCTTTGTATGATATATAACGAAAGGTTAGCTGAAGCTAATATTATATTGTATAACTGCCGCGGGTCAGTCATCAATAATTACCTATAACTGTTGAAAATACTTAAGTATCCTCAATTTTTGATAAAGCTACTTTTGCTGTGGGGATAGCAGTTGACAGGAAAGTACACAAGTATTTATTAAATGCCTATTTCCATTAAGTAATAAATTTAATCGTGATTTTAAGATACATGACATTTCCCCGGACGTATACATACTTGATGTCTTGTAATTTTAATCACAAAGCTCAATGGAATAAGGCAAACATGAGCTATGAAAACGTTGTCATGCGTAACATAGTATAACATGTGACAGAATTTTACAGAAAAAACCAGGGAGTAAGAATACTGTGCAGTATACCTGAAGGGTTGTCACTGAAAGGAATTTGGTAATTCAAACGTAAGCTTTTCTCTCCGTTACAAAGTATTCAGTAATAACGTTCCTTCTGATGTTCGCAACCCCTTCAAGGTGTGTCAAGACCATTCAGGAGTGTCATGATCATTCAGGAGTGTCATGACCTCAGAAGTACAGTATAGTAATCTCCGTGAATTTCAGCCGGTAATTGGACCAGCTATATGCGTTTTAACATTTTCAGAGTTGGGTGGGGGGGTTAATACTGTTAAATCTGTTCTGTTTATCTCGCGTCACTGGGTATTAGCAATGGGACTTCCTTTATGCCATTACAGTGTTCAGTGTGCTTTTATGTGAACTGAGTATTAGATATATTATTTTTTTGTGTGAATTTCTTGCTGTTTGAAGTCATCACTCTATATTGTTCACAATTTCTTCCCCAGTCAGGACATGCTAGAACTCAGAACCAGGTGGTTCTCTTCGATTTGTGACTCAGCGTGGCGCCATCCACTGTGCATCCAACGTGGCCCTCCCGGGAGCTTTATGGTTCCAGAGAGGCGCCAACCTCTATAACCCTAACGCGGCCTGCACCCCTGTGGCTTCAGCGAGGCCCCTCTACCTGTGGCACCTCCCCTGTGGCTCCAGCGTGGACCTTCTTCCTGTGACACCATCGTGGCACCTCGTGTGACACAAGCGTGGCACCTCCTGTGACACCAGCGTGGCCCCTCCTGTGACACCAGTGTATCAACCTCCCCGGTGGTTAAAGCGTTACCCCCACTCCTGTGACACCAGCGTGGCACCTCCCCTGTGGCTCCGGCGTGGCCCCTACCTCGTGGCACCAGCGTGGCGCCTCCTTCAAGACTTTGCCGACCCTCATTAGCAGGCCACAGTGAAGGTCTTCGCGAGAGGAGTCATGCCAAACGCCACCAACGAGGTCACCGATGTACTTATTAAAAGAGGATTTAAGGTAAGAGTATACATGTGTATGTATATAATATACTGTATAGTATATTTGGAGATTATACACCTCGTGCAATACGTAGTTTATAATATATTAACTCACTGTAAGAAGAGTCAGCTAGATCTCAATCGAGTATTGTCTTATTTCTCTGACGTTTAATTTATGCTTGGATGTCCTTTAAATTACTCGTATATAAGAATGCGTTGCTTGGCACGTGAAGGCTTACGACCTGGTATCTTATGGATGAGGTCATTGAGATGTGCTCCGCGTATTAAAAAAAAAGTAGGATATCAATTTGGGGAACTGTCAGTGTTATGATTAACAATAAAGTCTTTACAATTCTTGCCATCATTGCCAAAGGAGTTTTTGACATAACATTGTATTTTAACACGGTGAGAGTTTTTTAAACCAAAAACTAAGATAGGCTATTTTTATCATTGTTTTCATATTTGTAAAAAAAAAAAATCCTGGAAGAAGGATGGTGAAGCAGTTGGTTAGATAGTAACAGAATGTTTTTAACAGGACGGGTAACTCCTCCACTACAGAAGACCAACCAACTGTAAATTATTGTTTGTAATGGTGAGGACATCAAGCCAGCAGTCAATTCATTGTGAGTACGAGGCTTCACACTCAGAATGTATCTTGCGCACTACACCCAATCACTACAGCTGACTTTTTTTTCCAGTTCCCATATATCACAGCCATACTGACCAAGGCACTCTTTCAAAATACTTGCACCACATACCAGGTATCGCAATGTTAATTATTTTTTTTGTGACTGCTATCTAAAGTTTATGACTGAGCCCAGAGTATAACAAATGAAATTATGGTTTTTTATATAAACTTCGCAATGAATTTAATATGATAATTATTATTTATTGTAAGAGCTTATATACTGTTGTTTAATTTGCCGCGTTTTTACTTTTGATGACACAATACGTGGCCTATCTGTTCATCTTGATCACTTGTTAGCCTAGCGGGTTATTCGTCAACTAATCTCACATTAATTCGTGTCTACCCAAGTTACCAAAGTCGGGTAGGATGTGTCTCCCTGTTACATATTCCCATACAGTTTTCTGTTGTGCTCTGAATGTCAAGTATTGATTGTACGACTTTCGTCCATTTATCGTGAAGCGAAGAGATTGGATACTTCAGTGCGGTGTAGATAGTTTTCAAGATCTACTGTAGTTAACTTATAACATACGCCTAAAGAAAATGACACCCCATAATTCCAATTCCCAAATTTGTTGACTTTTTCTCTTAAGAGGAACATCTTAACAAACAGTTACGATAATTAATCTCCTGTTGTTGATAAGTCTCACGGTATGATATCGGTAAAAAAGAGATTATATGATGTACATTCTGTTGTTTGTCCATTATGATGTAAACAAACCATACGTCTTGTATTATCCAGCATGATGGTGTATAGTAACCGTATACTTTGTATTACTCAGCATGATTTTATTCACATATACTGTAATTGCAGCTAATATCTCTCGTATAAATTGTTCCTCGAGTAACTACTGTACACTATTTCTTGTGTAACTTGTATAATTTTAGGAATTTTGTCAGTCGCGTATTGTTTGTGTGACGGGTTTCTACAATCTGAGCAGAGAGAATCTTTCCTATATTTCTGTGGTGTGTGACGTGTGGTTTTATCACGTTTTTTTTTACACGTATGTGGTTACAGTATTCGCTCTGGTTTCTAATATATTCTTCCTTGGCTTCTGTTTCGTGAATTTTGGTTTCTCTTTGGCACGTAATTACACACACACTGGTTTCTAATATTTACGACTTCCTGGTTTATCTATTTTTTGTGGTTTCTGTCCCAAGTATGATGGTTTCTGGCGGCGGTTTATGATTTATTTATACTATACCTTCCTGGTTGCTATATTCATGCCACCATTTTTTCCGAGTTAAAAGAGCAATGCCTCGCTGGTTTTTTGCTTAATGCCTTCCTGTCCTGGTTTTATGAATTTTTCCTTGGCTTATATTTATAGTGTGTCTGGTGTTAATTTTTTGATGTTCCGGTTTGTTTATTTAATGTCTCCCTGAATGGTAACTGCGCCTACTGCCTTATTACCCTTCAATGTCACCACTCAGTTGCCTTCCCAGCCCCCCCCCCCTCCACTCCCTCACACAATCACCTACTCCTTCATTCATTCCCTCACTCAGTCACTCACTTTCTTTACTCATTCTCTCCCTCTTTCGCTCACTCAGGGAGAAGTATTGCTTTCGCTCATACTGTTATTATATCAATTACCAAACCCGCTGAATATACCCGTTATGCTCCAGAGTATACCCGTCATGCTCCACACAGTATACCCGTCATGCTCCACACAGTATACCCGCCGTGTTCTATCGAATATACCCGTTTAATGCCTCTGGGTTTTGTTTTTAATGCCTCCCATTTTGTTTTGTTTTAATGTCTCCGATTTTGGGTAATTAATGCTTCCCGAGATTTTGTGAATTTGATGTCACGGTTTTTGTGTTTGATGTCCTCCGGTTTTTTTGTATGCTTAATATCTCAAAGTTTTATGTGTTTAATATCTCCCGTTTTTTTGTGTTAATGGCTCCCGGTGTTTGTATGTTTAATGGCTCCTGGTTTTTGTGTTTTTATGCGTCTGGGTTTTGTGTGCTTGGTGTCTCAAGGGTTTATTGTGTGTGTGTGTTTAATGCCTCTGGGTTTTTTTTGTGTTTAATGCTTCAAGGTTTATATTTTTGGTGTTTAATGTCTTGTTTTTTTTTTGGCGTTTTTAATGGCTCCCGGTTTTGGGTGTTTAGTGAGTCTGTGTGTTTAGTGCCTCAAGGCTTTACTGCGTGTAAAACATTTTTTCTATGTTTATTACTTCTTAGTTTTCTTTGTTTAATGCTTTATGTTTATTCTGTGTTTAATGCCTCTAGTGTAGGTTTATCTATGTTTAATGCTTCTGGTGTTTCTGTTTAATGCCTCTGGTTTTCTAACTTGTAATGCCGTCTGGGATTTCTCTCTTTGTGTGATACAGCGGGCGGCCATTGTGGGTATGGCGACGGGCAGCAGCACAGTGTTCGAGGGAGTGGTGACCATGGCTGTGGATGGCTCCTCCACCGCCGCCGCTGTCGTTGGATCAACACTCATACTGATTGGAGGTCTGTATCTGCCCTCACACCTGTTCCTCTTTATCCTCACACCTGTCATCTTAATGAGGTGTGTTAAAAGGTTAACTTATATTAGTTTAAAGTTATGACTATTGGAATATAATTTCAGTTATGTTGTATTGGTCAGCAGAGACGAAAGGATTGCGAAAAGGCTTTCGAAATGTTGTGCAGCAGGAGATATAGTTAAAAATACTTATAGTAAAGGGAATGAAGAGGTATGGAGACTGGCTGGGGAGGGGGGGGGGTAAAAATGCTGGAATGCGTAGAATACGGAAAACTCACTTTGGCCATGGAATTACGGGTGAGAGGATATTATTAGAGATATTAATGGAAAGTTTGAGGGTAGGAGGACCATGGGAAGGCAGGAACAGGGATGGATGAAAGAAGGACCCAGGAGATTGAATTGAATTGTAACAGTTTATTTAGCCAGAAAAATACAGATATATACACACTCGAGGGAGATCGGTAAATAAAGTACGAATACGTTTGGAATGGAGGGCCATGTTCGCCATCTGTCAGACCTGAGAACAGCCCTTTGATTGATTAATGTTTTGTAAAACAGAATACCTTAGATTACCGAAAGAATTTATCAGTAAGTTGTTATGTACGTTGCTATCTCCTTGACAATGGAAAAATATAGGACCATTCTTTTTAATGTGTATGAATTTAGTGTATTTTGTAAATGATTGTTACTAGATACTTATGTTATTTCAGTGATGTTGACGGTGGTGTCGGCAGTAGGGTACAAGAGGTATACTAAGTACCGCTCCCGTCAGGTGGGCGCCGTCATGGCCAGGGCTAGACGAATGGCCAGAGGTGAGGGCGCCTCACCCGCCTTTCTTGATTTAGGTTCCGGGGGAGAGCTGTTGAGAGTGATGGCTGCCTGTGACAACACAGTCACCATCTGTGATACTGTAGTGCCCTTGGAAGCGTATTGTAATGGGAAGATTTGTGAAGTAAATATGGGAGAGATTACAACAAACTCTGGGAGGTCTGGAAGTGTCGATAACCTAGCTACAAGAATCTCGAGGAAGAGTGCCAGTGTGGATACTTTAGCCACGACGAACTCTAGAAAGAGTGGAAGTGTTGATAACCTAGCAGACCTCCGGACTATAGATATATCTCCTGGTATGATTGTACTGCCTGTATACTTAGTGGAATCCAGTTGCACGGTGAATGTTTATATGCCAGATGAACACGAGGCTCCGCTCTGGCTCTACACTGACATGTTGATGTTGTTCTGGGTGGCTGTGTTCCTGGCAAGCATTGGACACACCTTCCTCAACGCTGCTTTCATCATTCTTGGTGTAGCATTCAACAGTCTGCCCAACGTTACCATAGACATTCTGTGCGGCGTCTTTGGCTGTATTGGAGGTTGGTATATATTTTTCTTAATTGTTTAGAGTTACAAAAACAAATTGTATTCTTGGTACTGTATGAGAGACGAGCAGGCAGTGTTTATTGACCCATCATGCTTCTTTTTTGTGCTCATGAGAAGGGACACCGCCTCCTGTACTAAGGGTCGCTGATTCAAAAAGCCAAGGGCACTCCAAATCCACCTAACTGAATATGGGTACTTAACTTTGCAGCTGGAGAAAAGAAGGCAGTCGAGTGTAGTGCCAATCACGTGTCCTCCTTGTGTACCGAAGGCTCACTATTAAGTGAACTGTATCCACATTGTCCTTAAGGGGTGACCAGGCCCATGGAACCCACTTTCACTTTTTCAACCTAGAGAAGAATGGACATGTAAACTTTGTATTCATGCAAAGTAACTGGAAACACTGTACAGAGGTAAGATAATAATGTGTTTTTCTGTGTGTCACGCAGGAGTGTGCATTGTGGCGGCGGGCGCAGTGGCTTGCCGCTGCTACAAGGTCTACCACAAGTACCTTCGTGAGAGTGCTCCCTCCCCCTTTGAGGAGACAACCTTAACGAATGGTCCAGCTATCTGGCAGCTACTATAAATTATACTTATTGTTACACAATTAAAGTTTATGTGATTGGTTTTATGGTTTATTCAGGGCTTTCAAAATAATTCCTCTCAGGAGGTACTTAACAGTGAAAACGAAGTACTTCTCAAGGAAGGCACTGGGCTAACTACCCGGTACAGTACCAGCAACAAGCTTAGGAGAGTAAATGTACTGGGTACCAGATGATTTTGAAAGCTCTGCTTATTGTATGATCAACACTAGAGCCCACTGACCTCTGTACCCGAGAGAACTTGGAGACAAACGAAATATTTAAAAATAAATTGTTAGTTATGATTCTCCTGAACGCAGCAGAACTTGCCACTGCGGCCTTGTCAACGTCTTACATGTGTATCCATCTGTACTGTATATACGTCAGTAATGTGGCCTGAGACATTGTGCTGCTTCCCCTAAACACCTGTCCAGGGTAAGAGGAATGTTGATACACATGGCAGTCAGTTGCACAAATCGTTCAAATTACTCTTTCAGACTCCGTAGATGATTAACATTGTCATTGTGTTAGTGTGGATCTCGTTACCAAATTATAATTAAGTAAAACTATTGACAACTTGTTTTAACGTGTTTTGAAGTTGGGTGTTAATTGTTTAGAGTTTTGCCATATTTGTCGATAACCATTTCGTGTATGTACAGAAGTTCTCTCGGGCTCATTGCTCAGTTGTTGTATCCCTCGGCAGTGTATTAAAAAAAAACTACTTGCCATATAAAAATATTACGTGACCGATAGTAAGTAGCGCTCTGAAGTTAACATATTATCGTTTTGTGTTGGAAACTTAACTGTCTCAGTTAAGTTCTGATCTTTGGGTGGCATATGACTTAACAATTTATTCTTATATTCTATCTTATGACTTTTAACAATTTATTTTTATATTCTACCTTAAGTCAGTCTACGTGCATTTTTGTGTCTTCATTTACGAGGAAAACTCATCATTCGAACCTTTGAGAATCTGATCCCGGTGGCTGAAAGCATTTAAAAAAGAGCAGTTGCTGTGTCTTTTCTCTGAACATATCTTGCGGACATTTTCTTTTTTAAATTTATTCATTTTCTTTAAGGGCAAGAAAGCATATTATACAACATATAGTACTGTCTTACAATAAAAAATTCGGAGCATTACTTATCCATCGGTGACGTCCTCAATATGGCCTCCGCTGGTGTCATGTTTGTTTCTCCAAGCTAAATAAAAATTTATCGTGTTCCTTCACTGGTCTAGTAAGGGTTTGGAATAAAAAACCGTTATACATGCGTTGACAGTTATAGTATTATGTCGTATGTATGGCAGTAATGTGTATATCATATAGTACAGCCACACCGCATATCATGACATCAGAGAAGTTTAATCTTTTAGAAGTCTTCCCCCAGAGCTCAGGTGTATCCCGCGGGCGTCCAGGCAGGAGTACGGCAGTCTGTGACGGTATGTTGGCTAATTCAGCCTGGCAACACCTGCACTGGTTGTCTTACTCCACACTACAGTTTAATGTGACGGTGCTTGACAGTATCGTATTGTCAAGAGGGAATACTGAATAGAGTAGCTAGTACCTGGTGTCTCTTGTGGCATTCCCCGCGTTTTTTTTAATGAATGATAGAGATTTAGTAAATAAGAATTACGATGTATTGTTTACAGTCTTTTGATGTCAGTTAGGCAATAATAGAGTATAATAGGATAGTGTACCCACTGTATTGCGACAGTGATCATTTTGTTAGTGTAGATATTTGTTAAAAACTTGACTTAATTTTCTCATGTGGGACATCAAAATATTTTCAAGTTATTTGAAACACATTACAGAAACACCTAAAAGAGGTATTGCTGTCAAAATGAAAGATACTCCTACACACTCTACAAGTTCACCAAACAGTCAACAAGTTCATCAAACACTACAAGTTCACCAAACACTACAAATTCACCAAACACTACAAGTTCACCAAACACTTCAAGTTCACCAAACACTACAAGTTCACCAAACAGTCAACACGTTCACCAAACACTACAAGCACAGGTCTGACATCACCACCACCACCACCCTGACAACACTATGAACATCCGCACAGGTCTAACACCAACTCTACCACCAATTTGACAACACTCTTGACGTCAGCACAGGTTTAACATCACCACCACCACACTGACAGCACTATGGACATCAGCACAGATTTAACACCACTTTGACAATATTATGGACGTCAGCACAGGTTTAACACCAATTCTGTCACCACTTTGACAACATTATGGACGTCAGCACAGGTTTAACATCACCACCACCTTGACAACACTATGGACATCAGCACGGGTCTAACACCAACTCTACCACCACCCTGACAACATTGACTTCCGTATTATTAAACATCATCCCTTGAAGAGGGTTGTCATGTTTCAACCCGAGTTTTAAACTAAATGAGTCCTGAGGGACACGGCAGTACAGTACTTAACGGGGTGATGTGGCAGTAAAATTAACTAATTCCAATAAAATAGGCTCGCGCGACGACAGCTTACGACGGAAAACAGAACTTTTGTGACATGTTGGTAATATTTTTTTCGAAACTATATTGCCCCTGTAAAGTCTAAATGGGGTCTTGGCACAACTGATGTTACTGGTCAGTATAATCAGTGGGTCGGGAGAAACTTTAATAGGTCATGTGAGGTTAGAGAAGACCCATAATAAAACAACTACCAAATATTCGGAGAAATTTTTTGGAAACATACGAGGCTGACTTCCATCAAGCAGCAAATTGGTACAGTACACGATAGGCTGATACCTGAAGGTGGCTGGACAGTGTGCATGTTTCGTTACCGCTGTGCTGACAATGGGGGGGGGAGGGGTTCAGAATATAGATTGGTTTTAAATTTGGTGAATATTGAGAGAAAGCTGAAACATGGTGAGGGTATTATTGATAAGACTAAAAAAAGATTATTTGGTCCACATAATGGAATTGGTTTCGAAATACAACTAGAAAAGTAGTCTTGTAAATGATGTCCGATTTCGGTTACCATGGAAACGAGACTACGTTGCAACCCTTCATTAATGGCCTGAGACAGGATGTCTTGTACTTGAGGTTTGGTGTACTGGTTAATAATTGTGGACAACATTATTCAAAGTTGTCGTGATGGAAGGAAACAAGAGTTGCAGTATTATAGTATTGAAAAAAACGGAGGGAGTGTAACTCAGAACTATCCAAGTTGACAAGCGAAAGTTTTTGAACTGGATCTTGTCTAATGCTGAAATACTGAAGGGGTTAATGGAATATGGATGTAGAGCAGCAGATTTTCACAGCCCGCTTTTTACGGAATATTCACTTTTTTGTGATTACAACTTCATTCCATCGGCGAAAAGTAACTTCTCGCCCAGTGCCTAACACTGACAGATGTGATCCTGCCTTGACATCGTATGGACACGTCACGTGCCTTGTGTCAACCAACATCATCACACATGCAGTAATTAGAAGCATTCATATCTCTAGAAAGTTAAGTTTCAGAGTTCGTAAGTTTTACTTGTCAATTTTTGCTGAGATTTAGCCTGTTCTCGAGTCAGTATACAGTAGTGCTCGAAACTTGCTAAACGATTAATCTGCCATAGTTTTCTGAAGTGATAGATTTCTTCCTATAAAGTTATCCTTCTACAGCTTCACCCGTTGGAAAGATTGTATTCTCTCAGTAACTTTTTTGTAAAAGTCTTTTATACCTAATAGTGAGGAGTAAATCTGTAATTACGTAATCAAAACATTAACTGGTGCATGCCCTCTTTTGAAAGTCTTAGACGATCACGTAAGCAAAGGTGAGACTCACCTGTAGTCTTAAAATTTATGTCGGTAAGTTCCTGTGGCAGTGAATACTGATGTTCTAATGGTTTATATGTTTTATATATTCATACATCGCATTTTCACATTCGAGTAACAATTCAAGTGCTTGTCCAATATTGTATTGTCTTGGGAAGTGTTGCTACCGTGAGCTCTTGCACTGAGCCTTTCTACTCCTGTATAACTCATTTCATTTAACTGAAAATATTAAGTCGTATACGAATGGGCTGTTTCTATTGGGAATAAGAATTAAGTAAAAAGGTAAACAGATTGTTATTAAATAAAGTCTTTTTTTTTCTTCATATGCCTTCTTTAAATATCAACAGACATCTTCATGTTGGCTAGGCTACACAATCATATAATTATAGCAAAATCCATCTTTACTCTTCCCGAAAGTACAACTCCTGTGGTTCTTTGTTATAATACGAATTTGTGATTGTGAAGTATCATCAGACCAATGTAGCTCGGCAGATTTCCCAAACGTAATCAATAGAGATTTCCCTCCTGGTTTCAAGTTAGGGATGAGAGCCACGGAGGCTGGAGTCAGCGAATTCATTATGTGTTAGACCAGCCAAGCGATGATTAAATATTTTTTTTATTATAAACCTAAATACTAAGTTGCATGGTATTTGGTCATGCTGTTTGAAAGATATCGTTATACCAAAAACACCACGAACAAGCACTAACAAACATACAGTCCCCACATGTACGTTTATGGATAAGTGATACACTTAGATAACTTGGTGATCGCACTAGTTCCTCTCCCTTTCAGTAAGAGGAAACCGAAATTGCTCATCAAATCATAGAACACTGCATAAAAGACATGGTAAGAAAAATCAGTAGCCTAGCCTCTGTTGTAGGAGATGTCAACCATTGTGTTTTGTCGTCGTAATTTATATACCGTACAATATTACCAAACGCAACAATGTTCGTGAGTCTTTGTAAGTTTTAATAGACTAAAGGTATAGGAAAACACATAATAAAACTAAAGGTAAATATCTTCCTAGTTTAATTTATATTCCCGTGACAGTGTTAACGAATTTTCATCATAAGGTTCAGGTATATATTTATAAACATAGGATTATCAGTACACAGCTCTAGTTAATTAATTACAGAGTAATGTTACACTAGCTAGGGGTCCACGGATTGAAAGCAAGCATGGTAAGCTAACCTTACTAAACTGCATTTACCGCTGTATAATTTTGAAGGCGTTCAGATAATCTAAAGCATTTCGCATATTTTCGAAATACTTTTCGTATTTGGATTAATTTTAGCATAGTTCTGGAGTTTAGTTTATTTATCCGTTAACACGTTTTGCGACTGTAGTTCATCACCGCTAACCACAGTTCAACTAATAAATACAGTTAAATGTGTTGGTGTGGCCGAGTGGAGTCGAGAAGGGTGTGCTTCACTCTGCCGATGTTTGCTCCTGGAGATTGTTTCTTAGCTGTGCTTCACTCTCTTGGTAGCTGGGTGGAGGATGCGGGTTGTCTGACTGTGTTGGATATGTTCCTGGCTGTGCGGGGTATGCTCCTGACTGTGCTGGGTATGCTCCTGACTGTGCTGGGTATGCTCCTGGCTGTACTGGGTATGCTCCAGGTTTGACAGGAAATTGTGGGTAAGGTGCATATGCTCCTGGATAGGGTGGATGTGCCCCAGACGTGGGTGGATATGTATGTAGTTGAAAAGGGTGTGCTCCAGCCTCTGATGAATTCTCTATTTGGGTTAGATTTACTTGTGGGTAGGAAGGGTTCCCCCCTGTCTGTTGGGGATATAATCCAGGTGGTGGAGGCACGACGTTACCGCCTGGGTTGTTCCTCTGCTCCTGCTCGTCGTTCTTGATTTTCTTGTAGAAGTAGACACCTCCCACGATCGTTCCAACCAAGATCATCACTAACAGAAAAGTTATTAAGTTATGTTGAATTGATAGAAGTGTCGGCCATTCAAGCACAACTGTGTATATTTAAATGTAACAGTTGATGGGGCAACTTCCATTATACTTTGCTGAAATAAAACATGGCATAAAATAGCTATAGAGCGTCACTAAACTCTCTCCTATATACTATACTTATATACAAAAATATACCAGAAGCAGACTAACCTCACGAACGGATAGGTAGCTGATGAGTGGTGAAATGATAGATAAGTTAATAAAGAGAAGTAAAGCATTGGTCGACAAGTCAGTTTTAAATGGTTTGAAAATGAAAACTAAGCTACGGTCAAGTAGCAGAAGCGAGTCTTCGTATTTATAGGTGGCGTAAACTAGGCTAAGAAATGAAGACATCCAAGACAAGTTCAGAGTAGAACTCATTATTATGTTTAATGAAGGAAAATAATTCTGATAGTCATATGCAAAGAATGTACAATATATGTGCAGATCGATACTTGAGGTGTAGGTCCCATGCAAAAAAGACAATTGGAACCCCAGTGATGAACAGCATGTAAGGAGTTACATGCGGAGGTGTCTGTGCACTTCAAGAGGTAGAGATGGAAGTATTTCTGGAAGCAAAATTGGCGATGAGCTACTTTTGACACAACTGCTTACTAAGAAATTGGTAAAGAAAATTATATGTAATTTAAATCTTGAATAATGACGAGCAAAATCGCCACAGGATAGCACCATATGAGCTATCTAGCTTTCACTTTTAAGTAAAAACAAAGAGAAGGAGTATAGTGAAAAAGAATAACCATCGACAAACTTACCTCCTATACCAAGGAAGACGCCGCCCATGGTGGTCAAAGTAGAGTCTCCGCCAGTGTCGATTCCAAGAAGAATTGACCCCGAGGCAATAAAGGATATGGAAAAGGAGGCACACCCCACCATCGCCCTCATCAATATGAACATGCCACCCACCTTGTAAAATTGAACTACTTTGTTTTTAACCGTTGAAAATTGTGAATTAGTCTCCGTCATGCACGAACAATAAACTAGTTCATCATATTTAGAACCTCGTAGCTTTTATACATAATGTTTATTATTCAGTTTTAAATCACACTTAGAAATAATGATACAAAATTCATACTCAAACCAGGGGCTACAGTGTACGAAAAAGATATAAAAATACAGAGGTGACTTACCCGGCCGTAGGGTACAACTACCACTCCTGCAACGTCGGTCCGCCGCATTGTGCTCTTTTGCCACGAGTCCTGCAAGTGATTGATTTTGATTTATAATTGGCCAGGAAATTTTCTTCCTATTATTTCACTGATGTGGTTCAGTGTGCTGCTGCTTCTACCTTACACTTTACTGAAACTTTTATCGGAAGAATTGAGTTTGTTGTGTTGATATATATTTGTGCAGGCAGAAAGCTAGTCTTTTCATAGGCAAACAGTTTTCCCCCCCCCCCCCGTAGCCCCCCCCCCCCACGAAAAAAAAAGAAAAAAAAGAAGAAGCTATTTTCTCGGTGAGGACTATGCCTGTTATCTGGGTACTCCTTACAGACTGAGTGGCGGCCTGTGGAAATTCCTGCGAAGTTGATGTTGATATTACAATACATTACTGAGCTTCAAAAACTAAGGTCTTTGAGCGCATATTCTAGACTAGTCATCCACAGTTAAGCATTAGAGATAAATAAAAATCAGGAAGAGGGGATTCAGGGTTAGAGGGTTTCAGGTTTGGCGTGGTGCAGGGATGAAGAATTAATGGGCTTCGGGGTTATGGTCTCTCTTCTTTTCAGATATTGATAAAGGTTATTTCTCTTGTTGAAATTATTCTTCTTTTTAGAGTTTCTGGTACAAGTATTTTCCTACTGAACAAATACAATTATTTTCAAATTTAGCTTGATATACGACGGTGGCTAGAGATTTAGATAGTTTTCTTAAGTTAAGCTGGCAAAACTGAAGCTGAGTTGAGGTATCCCTGAACTAGGTTATATGAGGCTATTGTTTTTTTTATATATATTTATCACGAATTGACATAAATGTTGTCTACTAAGTAACGTGTTACAGGTTAAGGCGGATTCGATTTTTTTTATTTGGCAACGTTGATAATATAAACAATGTTCTCGAAAAAAAAAGTAGCATATTAGACACCACATAAGCTTTTGAGGATACATAACAAGCATAACTATCTGGGTACATGTATAACCGAGGACGAATTACAACTAACACCCACGCGTACCCGCCTTAATAAGTTCATGTCTGAGAAACCGCCAATAGCAACAATGTGCACTATGCCACGTCCTGGCTTGATTCAACCTGTAATTTGATACGAATATTCGGCAATTGTAGACCTTTAAGAGGATCATTTCCAAGTATTGTCTGCAGTGGTACGTAGCTGTGAGAAGAAAGTGCTGAGGGCTACCACCAATGCTAGTGAACAGTAGGAGCTCTTGGCAGATCAATACCAGACTTGGCTACGGCCAGGTCCGCCTCCCTGGGTAAGCCTTGTTCAGGTCTGGCTGCCAGCTCTCGTGTCGGTTGTCTCAAGGTTTTACTTAAAAAAGTTATTTTATCATGTTCAGTTGTAGTGTGTGACAAGAACAGGTCCACCACAATGATCGGATTTTTTTCGCCACTCAGATTTAAATCATGTTATACTTTCTTGTGTATCTTGTTATCACACAAGATGGAGAGTAAATACAGTATTCATAATACATGTATATGTTATCCGTTAATTCGTCTTACTGAATTGAACATTTTAATTTTCAATTTTAAGATGTATTTCAAAAAAGGTTTATGGCTTTATACAAATATTTTTAAATGACAATTAGTATATTACAATGTTTGCTTTTTTAGTCTACAACAAGGGATAGCATAAAATAAAAAAATGTCCAATGATAATGAGTCAGCGAGGCCACTGGGCTCACTGCCTAACCTTGGATTCTTTTTTCTTTTTTCTTTTTTTTTGGGGTTGTCTTATGCCCCGACATAATAATGAAGGAAGCAAAAATTCTCAAATCCGTCCGTTAGTGCATTGCAAGTGTGATTTTAGATCAATAATTACGTTAATAAATTGATGGATCTACATCAAATTTTATAAAATAGCCATATTTCATCAATATCTTGGCTACGTTTGGTAATTACTGGTTTGTTATGTATTAGTCATAACCTGACGTTGGCAACTATGGTTTCTGGTCACTAACTCATGGCAGGGGTATATGTCGCCTGCAGCGAATGTCTGGCTTATGTTTCATCATAAACAATAATGTAAAATTGAACATTTGGGGGCGGTGAAAATAACGTCCATTCTCGTTACTACCTCCCAAGCTTCTAAATAACTACACAGAGAAATAACTATACCTATTAATTAAACTATAAATATTACTTGGTATAATATAAGATACACATCTGACAAAGATGACTGAACCAAGGCTTATCATTGTACAGTCAGCCAAAGATGCACCGACCCCACCCTGGATCTCGTGCTCGCAATTTTACCTGGCAATACTTGGTAAAGGAAGGCGGTATGTAAAGGTTATTTTGATTGGTGGATCTGTTTTCGGCTGTATCACTGTCAGGATAATTATTAAAGAAACCAAAGGTAGAATTATTATAATAATAAACTGTTCATTGTTATTTAAGATCATGAGAAGTTTCCAAATGTTCTTATATTTGCTTAAATAATTAAGAAAATTTGATCTGAGAATCTCGTGGCAGTCCTTGCTCCTCGTTGTAGTTGAGTTGCCAATTCATTAGTATAATTTCTTCGATATTTAAGCACATATACGAACATTTGGAAACTTCTCATTATCTTAAATAACAATGAACAGTTTATTATTATAATAATTCTACCTTTGGATTGTTTAATATTTATCCTGACAGTGATACAGCCGAAAACAGATCCACCAATTACAATCACCTTTACATACAGCCTTACTTTACCAAGTATTGCCAGGTAAAATTGCGAGCACGAGACCCAGGGTGGGGTCGGTGCATCTTTGGCTGACTGTACATGATCAGACATTTAGGCATGACTTGAATACCCCAATGAGTTCTGTACAGTATATTCTCTCAGCCCAAGTCAAAGCTGCAAGGTGAAGGTATTGTACCTGGAAAATGGCTTATGTGAGTCCTATATTCAAGCAGGGTGATCCCCATTCCACGAATAATTAAAGACCGGTGAGCCTGACCAGCATAGTGTGTAAAGTACTAGAGAGCATTACAAGAAAAGCCATGATGGAACATCGTTAACGAAACAACCTTGTGAAGAATTCCTAACATGTTTTTATGCCGGGGCGCTCACGCTTGACACAATTAATGAAGGTGTCTGGATGTTTGGACTCAAATTCTGGAATAGGGTGGCAATATCATCATTATATACCTGGGTTATGCCTAGGCTTTCGACAGCGTATCCCATGAAAGGCTGAGAATTAAACTGGAAGGGTACGTGATTCGGGGAAGTGTCTTAGCGTGGATCGGAGACTTTCTTCATGGCCGCAAACAGTGTCTGGTGTTTAATGGCACGAAATCGTCATGTGTACCCGTGACAGGGCAGTGTACTCGGCCCGTTGTTGTTTGTTTGTTTGTTTCGTAAATGACATGCCAGAAGCTATACACTCCCCATACAAATGTTTGCGGACGATGCCAAGTTATTCAGGGAAATTAAGGATCAAGCAGACTGTGAAGAGCTACAGAAAGATTTCTGTCAGCTTCAAAAGTGGTCGAAGAAATGGCTGTTAAGATTCAATGTCAAGAAGTGTAAGAGGATGCACCTGAGTTGTGCCAACAGTAAGGGGGCGTATCACATGTCGTAACGGGACAAGGAAACAGCATTAATGGAGACCGAATGTGAAAAGGACCTGAGTGTGTATGTTGAACCAAGCAATTAAGCTAGTAGGTATTATAAGAACGTCGTTCAGATGTCTAGCCAGTCCGTCCCGCGTAATGTTCTTGTCCAAAGGAGGGCCACCACACTGGTGCCTGCTCGACGACACATCAATTACCCAGAGAGATTAGAACGCCTGCAACTGCCTAGATTATACTATAGACGGGCAAGGAGCGACCTATTTGAAGTTTATAAACATCTCTGAGGGCACTACTCGAGTGTCAATACCTGGAGCTGGCGGACGCCCGCCCCACTTGGGGTCACAGCTCAAGGTTGAAGGAGCCACAAGTCCAGAAAATCGTCAGGGCAAGCTTTTACGGGTGAGAATTATGAACTCTTGGAACAATCTGCCAGAGAGTGTTGTGACGGCATTGAGTGTGTGAGCTCTTTCAAGACCAGACATTGACCAACACTGGCGAAGATTCAGATACGTTCTGGAGCCAGTACTTGCCAACAATACATAACAGAGACGTGAACGCCCACCCAAGCTGCTAACGAGCCGATCAGTGGCAAAGAGGATAAAACTTAAGAAAAAGTAAAGTAAAAGATAACGTGAGATTTTTAACTTAAAACCCATTAGTTGATATCTCACCTGAATACTGAAGAAACGACACCACACCAGCACGACCAACTAGCTCTGCCACACCGTGTAAGGGGTGTTGCAACACTTAATTATCAGTTTATCTTGGGGGAGGTCGGAATGATATCAGCTGATTACACTTGCTCCTTTCCGGCGCAGTTGTCGATTCTCAGGTCCTTCTAAGATAATCGTAAGGTAATTTTATATATAAATATTCTATGCTGTAGAGAGCTAACTTTTGTAAGGTTTCTGGCGATCTTAGCCAAATACAGTATGTAAAATAACAGATAGTGTAGGTATCCAATATATTAGTTATCCATTTAGTATATGTAGAGTAACGTTTTCTTTGTCAGTCTAGATAAGTTTCATTTTCTCTGAATAATATTTTAAGGTTAAACTTGTTATTTCCATCTTGTGTCATTTTGCAGCAAAGGTTCTATAGAAAAATATGGGGGAAAGTGTATATAAGTGTGACACATTATATAGCAGGAATGGATTCAGTGGATCAGGACCCCAGTCATTTAATGCACTCTAACATATATATTTTGTATATTCGGATGCAGTAAACAACACCTTTACACCCCAGAAATCAAGGAAGAGAAGGAATACGTCAAATGAATTACAGATGCAGGAAAGCCTCCAAAATAAAACATGACCTGTGGAAGAAACACGGGAACAAAACATCTGTTGACTAAGTAATATACAAAAGAGCCCCAGGTAAATATGCCCAATCAGGAAATTAGATAAGCTCAATGGCGCTTCGAGATGAAGTTACCTCAAAATATTCAGAAGATCCCAAGTCCTTTTATGCGTATGCCAGGAATAAAACGAAAACCATCGGTATTGTTAGTCCTCTAAAGGGCGATTACAACGTGGCCCTGGAGGATGATAAACAAACACCAGATGCCCTGAATGATGACCTTGCCCCAGTGTCCACACACGAGATAATAGATAACATGCCAGTATCTGGGAGAATGTCTACCTCAGGGGTGGAAAATGAATTAAGAGTTAGCAATTACAGACGACATCATCAAAAAAAAAATAACCAGCTTGAAATAATTCAAAGCCCCTGGAGTGGACGGATCACAGACCAAAGTGATAAAGGAAGTACTGTACGTGGTAAACGAGACTTGCATTCTACTAAGACTCTATTTAGGAAATCTCTTGATCAAGGATAAACCTCTTGAGAGTGGAATTTAACCAACGTCACCCTAGTATACAAGTGGCCAGTGGCCTACACGTCTGGTGAACAGTCGTGCCGAAGGTGTTTACATGACATTACAACCTCAATATTGTCATGCAAATCTGGACCGAGAGAAAATCCAGAGGAAAGCTCCCCTGGACGAGGTGTTGTTGAAGTTCACCAGACATTGTGATGTGACTGAGGCTGTGCTAAACCAAAGGGGAAAATGGCTGAGTCTGTACCTTGTCGCTGACACCTTTACATCGGACACATTAACCTCGAGAGTTAAGAAGGTTGCAACGTAATGATCACAGTATCGAGATGGTTGTAAACGACCACGTCGGCGGGTTGGGTGACGACACACTAGAACACAGCTACATCACCCCCATGCTCCCGCCCCCATGCTCCCGCCCCCATGCTCCCGTCCCCACGCTCCGGTCACTGACACCACACCCAGGTAAAGACAGCAAGCTTGACAAAGTTTTGTACAAACACGTTTTTAATATTACAACTAAATAAGAGCGATGAATGTCTACAAAGCTGTCATGCGTTAACTCACTTAAAGCATTGATAATAAAACATCTCCCTCTCTGTTTACTTTCCACTCCTCACTTGCTCTCTCGTTCTCCCCCTATTCTTAATACGAGCGTCTTAGGAGGTTAGGGAGGAATGACTCAATTGGCATTTCCTGCATTTTATCTCACTGTGTCTGGTTGACGTGTGAGTGAACTTTCCTCTTGGTCGTATGGTCGTTGAGTCTGGTAGAACTTGGTGGTGGTGGAGAGTGTGGTCGTGAGATATAAAGAGAGTGGTCGTGAGATATAAAGAGAGTGGTCGTGAGATATAAAGAGAGTGGTCGTGAGATATAAAGAGAGTGGTCGTGAGATATAAAGAGAGTGGTCGTGAGATATAAAGAGAGTGTGGTCGTGAGATATAAAGAGAGAGTGGTCGTGAGATATAAAGAGTGTGGTCGTGAGATATAAAGAGAGTGGTCGTGAGAGGTAAGGAGAGAAAGTCAGAGAGGTCGTGAGAGAGAGAGAGAGAGAGAGAGAGAGAGAGGGTGGTCGTGAGAGGTGTGGTAAACTTGGGCTGCACCTGCTGCTAACGAGGTCTTAAGCGGCGACGCATCGTAATCTCGACACAAACTAACTAAACGCATCTTAAACTTGGCCACATCTGAGGCTGACGTTAATTACTTGGTCTACTACACGTTCAAGAGCTTCTGTCCTGGCCCTCTCAACACCCGTCTTTAGAGCTGCTGTCTCAAAATCTATAAGGCCAACTCCTGTCCAACATGCTATAAGACTAACTCCTGTCCAACATGCTATAAAGCCAACTCCTGTCCACCATGTTATAAGGCCAACTCCTGTCCAACATGCTATAAAGCCAACTCCTGTCCAACATGCTATAAGACTAACTCCTGTCCAACATGCTATAAGACCAACTCCTGTCCACCATGCTATAAAGCCAACTCCTGTCCACCATGTTATAAGACCAACTCCTGTCAGGGCCAACTCTGTCAACATGCTATAAGACCAACTCCTGTCAACATGCTGTAAAAGACCAACTCCTGTCCACCATGTTATAAGACTAACTCCTGTCCAACATGCTATAAGACTAACTCCTGTCAACATGCTATAAGACACTCCTGTCCAACACACTATAAGACCAACTCCTGTCAACATGCTATAAGACCAACTCCTGCCACCATGTTATAAAACTAACTCCTGTCAACATGCTACTCAGACTAACTCCTGTCCAACATAGCTCCTGTCCAACATGCTATAAGACCAACTCTGCATCCACCATGTTATAGACTAACTCTGTCAACATGCTATAAGACTAACTCTGTCCCAGCATGCTATAAGACCAACTCCTGTCCAACATGCTATAAAAGACCAACTCCTGTCCAACATGCTATAAAATAACTCTGTCCAACATGCTATACAAGACCAACTCCTGTCCACCATATTTATAAGGCTAACTCCCTGTCAACATGCTATAAAGACCCCAACTCTGTCCAACATGCTATAGACCAACTCCTGTCAACATGCTATAAAAGACCAACTCCTGTCAACATGCTATAAGGCCAACTCCTGTCAACATGCTATAAAGACCAACTCTGTCCCTGTGTTATAAGACCCAACTCCTGTCCAACATGCTATAAGACCAACTCTGTCAACATGCTATAAGACCAACTCTGTCCAACATATATAAGACCTCCTGTCCAACATGCTATGAATAACTCCTGTCCAACATGCTATAAGGCCAACTCCCTGTCCAACATGCTATAAGACCAACTCCTGTCAACATGCTATAAGACCAACTCCTGTCCAACATGCTATAAGACCAACTCCTGTCCACCATGTTATAAGAATACACAACTCTGTCAACATGCTTTATAAGACCAACTCACCCCATCCCAACATGCTATAAGACTAACTCCTGTCCAACATGCTATAAAGCCAACTCCTGTCCACCATGTTATAAGGCCAACTCCTGTCCAACATGCTATAAAGCCAACTCCTGTCCAACATGCTATAAGACTAACTCCTGTCCAACATGCTATAAGACCAACTCCTGTCCACCATGCTATAAAGCCAACTCCTGTCCACCATGTTATAAGACCAACTCCTGTCTTCCATGATTTAGAAAGCTGTCCTGGCCCTCTCAACACCCGTCTTTAGAGCTTTTGTCTCACTCTATAAGACCAGCCCTTGTCTATCACGATTTAGAAAGCTCTGTCCTGTAAGGCTTTTTAACCGACACACCATCCCATAAGACTTCATTCCGTATCTTTGGGTGTAGATTTCTTGACTATAAAACTCAGCCTGTCATTCAAGCCACTGTACAACTATAATACTTCACCACCCGTCTATGAGGCTCTTAACCGGAGCTAAATTATCAGTCTTAGTATAGGCCTCGGTCGTCAGTTTAGTAAGGCTCTGGTGACAGACTACAAGACTTTACCACCCATCTTTAAACCTCTTACCCGTCTATAAGACCTCTGGATTTATCCCCCCCGTGACCTCCCGTGACCTCTAGATTTACCTCCCCGTGACCCCTACATTTACCTCCCCCGTGACCTCTATAGTGACCTTCAGCCGTGACCTCTAGAATAACCTCCACCCATGACCTCTAGATTTACCTCCACCCGTGACCTCTAGAATGACCTCCCCTCGTAACCTCCAGCAACATGAAGTAGTATAGGATGGTGGTGTTGGAAGGGACAGATGACATGCCTAAGGGAAAAGCTCTTAGCGTGGTGACCAGGTATAATATGGCCTCCTGAAGCAGTTCTCGTGTCGGTCTTGAGGACATCTCCCCCTCTCTTATCCTCCCGTCCCCTCCTCTTCCATTCCCATCCCCTCTCCTCCCCACCCCCTTTCTCCTCCCTCCCCTCTCCCTCTCTTCCCCTCTCTGTAGCGAGGGGAAAATGTCCTCCAAATATTTGTGTAGCGTATTTGCACATAGCCTCTCGTTGAAGCACACACAATGGACGTTTTCTGGGCGTCTGGGGAAGTTATATATATATCTGTGAAAAATCCGTCGTGTGTGTGTGTATGTGTGTGTGTGTATGTGTGTGTGTGTGTGTGTGTGTGTGTGTGTGTGTGTGTGTGTGTGTGTGTGCGCTTTAGTTCTTACGTGAAGTCTTCATTTAATGGTTCGATCCAAACTTTATATATACTATCACTACTCTACAGTGTCTACATCCCATGCAGTTCTTTTAGAGCCGTTAAAATATATAGCAAACGATGATTAAACATTTAATTAAAAAAAAACTAATCCTTATTTGTTAATATTTTTTGTATTATTTTGTTGGGGGGGAAGACGTGATCGATAATGTTTGTAAGTTAACTAATCGGGGGATGAATGTTTGGACCCGGTACCTACTGCATTGTTCTGTGATTATATCTTTTATGGCCTTATCATCA